AAAACTCAACAAAAACAAAACTCAACAAAACTAAAACTCAACAAAAACAAAACTCAACAAAACAAAACTCAACAAAACTAAAACTCAACAAAACTAAACAAGACTCAACAAAACTAAAACTCAACAAAGCTAAAACTCAACAAAACTAAAACTCAACAAAACTCAACAAAACTAAAACTCAACAAAACTCAACAGACACCGCCGCACGCGGCGCACACGACCGCCGGTTTAGTGTCAGCCGCGTGAATCTCGGGGGGTTGTGCGTGCCGAACTGGCTTCACGTGCGTCAAGTCGTCGTGTCAGCACCGCACAAGTATTTCGAGCTTTCCAATGCCACCCCCCGTGGGGGGGGGAGGGGGTCCGGGTTCGATCTATCTGCGCTGACGCGGTGTAGAGGGGGTATTTCTTTTTTTTTTGCGGGGGGGGAGGTCAACGTAACGACGAATTCATCGACAGCGAGCAGAGCGTGAACCGAGAAGCGTGAAATCGGCGAGCCTCGGCCTGACCGACCTGGGTGGGGGGTTCAGCCCCCGCCCGTCGAGAGAGAGAGAGAGGAGAGAGAGAGAAAGATAGCGACCCGAATCAAAGCGAGCATCAGGGAAGGGGCCTTTGTCGACAGATTAAGAAGAAAAAGTGGACGACTGCGGCCCGCTTAAATCGGCGGAAGGGTACGACACCTCTTTAAAGTATCGGTTAACAACAATCGCTCGTCGACGAGGTTTGACGAGGTTTGACCCATCCGGCTGGTGGACTCCAACGTACAGGGATGGCATTCTATATCTCTTTGGTGATCTCCACAATGAATTGCCTCTCTCCGCCCCCCCCCCCCCCCCAAAAAAAAACACTTTTGTTCCTTTGCATATTCATTGATGTTTTAATTAAACCCTTACTTAATTTTTTCTTAGATAATTAAATGGGGGGAGGGCGGGTGGGGTCACGAGACCTCTGGACCACCCGCCCTGCACAGTTAACCTCGTTGTCAACGACGGCGCTGCGGAGTGCCATACACGCAGAGTTTACGAAGAGGTTTTGAAAGTCATAGTTGTGGAGATGAAGGCTGACAAGGCGATGAGTGAATCCGAACAAACGCTCTCTCTCTCTTAGATTTGTTTAGATTTAATAAACATTTTAACATAAGTATATATTTATTTATTTTTGAAGCACGGACAACGAATGTTTCTGTAGCTTGCCGATCCCGTGCCCCAATACTGGACGCGCGTGAAAAAAACAAAGAGCTTCACAGCTCATTGGATTTCTTCCCGCGGTCTAAATTTGGGATTCTGACTCCGAACTTCTCTACGGCATGGACGTTCTCTTTGCTCTCCGATCGACGATTGACTCTCGAGAGCTTCGTTGTCTCCACAGTGGAGAGATGTTAACCACCTCGCCTGGTACGCAGGAGGTCGTGGGTTCGATCCTGACAACGACGCCTGCCACTGCTGTATATTTGGAGATTGCATTTTCTCTCTCCACGTGGAGAGATGTTAACAACCTCGCCTGGTAAGCAGGAGGCCGTGGGTTCGATCCCGACCCTGACGATGCCTGTTGTATATTTGGAGTTTGCGTGTCTCTCTCATCATCATCAGGGTGGCTATGAGATGTTAACTACCTCGCCTGGTATACAGGCGGTCGTGGGTTCGACCCCGACGCCTGCTGTATATTTGGAGTCTGCGTGTCTCTCTCTCTCTGTCCCCGTGGTCGCGTGGATTTTTCTCCGGGTCCTCCAGATTTTCCCTCCGCATGTAGAATGAACGTCACCACGCGTTTAAGAGTATCTGGCCGCTGTAAATGTCCACGCGATGACGACGAGGCCACTTTGTTGGGCTACCATTTGTGACAGCCGGGTCCGCTTGTGAAATAAAATTGCTGCATAGCTCGGTAGGGCATTACCTCTCAAAATTAAAAAAAAGAAATGTTTATGGTTTTACAGTTAATAAGCACACGCGCGCACATACGTAGCGGGGCACAACCCGCGATCGCAATCGGAAGAGCTGCTTTACGGACAGCAGCAGCAGCAGCGGCAGCAGCGGCAGCGCAACCCGCGAAAAGCCTGCTCAGGACAGACTCGTTATCATTCACATCTGGGCCCACTCACTCGAGTCACCACCGTCCGTAGCAACGTGACTGACCGGGTGGGGGGAGGGGGGGGGGGGATGAGGAATAGCGAAGAGTCGGTGAGAACGGGAGAACCTCAACCCGCCGTTTGTGACCAGCGGTTCTTCACCTGGGGTGCGAGGCATGGACACATTTTATCTTTTAAGGTAAATCATGGAAAACACAGAAATTACGCACGGGCAACGCGAGCAGCGACCCACTTTGTTTCATCAAACGATGGAGAACCAAAGGGGGGTCCAAAGGCTGCAGCGAAGGTGAAGAACCGCTGGTCTAGAAGCATCATCCAGCAGTATCCCACTGTCTTGTGTGACGACGACGACGACGATGCTGACGACGATGCATTTATGAACATTTTACCTTTTTTTACGATTGAGAACGAAAATGCGTGCGCCGCAGCAGCAAGGCTGCGGTAAAGGTTAAGAACCGTTGCCTTGTGACGAACGCTGTGTAGGGGCGGTGGTGTATGGTGGTGTGGGGGGGGGGTGGGTAACGTGATCATGCGCGTTGTTGCGTGTTGCCGTGAGATTAACGATACAAATAATTTGATTTATTTCCGCCCCCCGCCCCCCCCCCCCCCAACTGCCACATCCGTGCCGTGGCGGTGACGTCGTCGCCCAACGCCGTGGCTCCGGTTGCTTTTTCCACTGCCCGTTTTGCCGTGCCGAGCCGGCACCGGATCCGGAACCAAACTGGCGCTACGCGCGCTGGCTTTCCACGCGAGACATCCGCTGGTGTATGTTTGTGTTTTGCCTACCTGCTTGCCTGCTGCCTTGGCCCCATCTTGATCAATCCGACTCGTATAATAACACATTTATTATTGATGAAATTTTAACGCGTTCATATTTAGCAACTTGCTTCACCCGTTTTTCCCTATTTCGCACTGCCACCGTTTTTTTTGTTACTGTATTATTTGCTTACTCTTTGGTTCTTTCGGTAAAGTAACGTAGGTGAAAAAATGAATAAATTTTTTAAATAAAATTTGAAATAAATATTTTACTTTTTATTTTATTTTTCTACCTACGTGACTTTACCGAAAGAACCAAAGAGTATGGATCCTTGCAGTCACGAAAACTTCAAATCTAGAAAGTATTATTTGCTGTTTGTAACGTGCTGACCAGCTGCCCCCCCACCACTATTGGACGTCTTAATGAGCTCATTGGATTCCTCGGGCGAGGCCTAACGCTGGTCGGTAGGGCACAAGGGCACGGCATCACCGCGTCATCCTTACCCGCATCGCGGCTTGTACGGGTCTCTGCGCGAGTCTATGGGTCTCTGCGCGAGTCTATGGGTCTCTGTGTGAGTCGATGGGTCTATGCGCGAGTCTATGGGTCTCTGTGCGAGTCTATGGGTCTCTGTGTGAGTCTGTGGGTCTCTGTGCGAGTCTATGGGTCTCTGTGCGAGTCTATGGGTCTCTGTGTGAGTCGATGGGTCTATGCGCGAGTCTATGGGTCTCTGTGAGGGTCTATGGGTCTCTGTGTGAGTCTGTGGGTCTCTGTGTGAGTCTATGTGTCTCTGTGCGAGTCTATGGGTCTCTGCGCGAGTCTTTGGGTCTCTGTGCGAATCTATGGGTCTCTGTGCGAGTCTATGGGTCTCTGTGCGAGTCTATGGGTCTCTGCGCGAGTCTATGGGTCTCTGTGCGAGTCTACGGGTCTCTGTGTGAGTCTATGAGTCTCTGTGTGAGTCGATGTCTTTACGTTGAACTTCTTTCACACCGTACGTAGCCAACCGCGCTAATCGGAGGTGCGGGGGAAGTCGGTACTCAGCGAGGACAAGGGAGCTCGCCGCCGTCTCCTCCGTGCGTCTCCGCGATTCGTTCATTTGCGCGTCACCGGGCACGGCTCTGCTCCCGCAGTGGAAAAACAAAACCTGGCACCTCCCGAGCCACGCCGGGCTGGCTCGGCGTGGCTCGGCGTGGCAGGATTCGCGTCAGTGGGGAGGTGGGGGGGGGGGGGGAGAAAAATAACTACGAGTGGAAGAACCGTGAACACATTGTGCCATCCAACGGTGATTCGCCGACACGCCGCGCGGAACCAAACCGGAATAGAAGCGTTACCAAACTGGAACGGAACCAAACCGGAACAGAACCAAACCGGAACGGAACCAAACCGGAACAGAACCAAACCGGAACAGAACCAAACCGGAACAGAACCAAACCGGAACGGAACCAAACCGGAACGGAACCAAACCGGAACGGAACCAAACCGGAACAGAACCAAAACCATACCGGAACGGAAGCAACCCGGTTTGGAACCAAAACCGAACGGGACCGGAATCGAATCGGAACAGAAACGGAACGGGAGCTCCAAAAGAAAAACCAAAAACAGAGAGAGGGGAACGTTCGCGCGTCGCGTGTCAGGGCCCCCCCGCGACAGCCCCCCGCAGCGCGTGTTACATTCAACGACCACGTGACATTCATGTATCTGTGAAGCACAACGATCCGCCGCGCGCCGCTCGCAGCCGTGCCGCCACCGCCGTTCGAGGGGTCTGGCCAAGTCACGGTTTCAAGAAAACCCGAAACAAACCTCAAGTTTGCCGAATGCTTAACACTTCTCTTCGGACCGAAAAATCAGCGGCGGCGGCGGCGGCGCCGGCGGCTTTTATCCTTTCCCGCGATACAAAAATAACCTGCAGGATTAGCGACTCGCCAACGCTTCCCCCCCCACACACCCACCCCTCCCACCCCCCGCCACGTTCCAGAAGTCCGCGCGTGCCGGAAACGCTCCCAGCGACCCCTGAAGCGGAACGTCCCAACGCCGACGCGAGATCGGTCAGCGCCTCGCTCTGCCCAACTCCTACAGGCACCACACGCGCATCCCCGTCCCTCGCCTCCTCCCCTCGCCACCTCCCCCTCCCTCCCTACCGCCCCCTCCTCCCCCCCCCCCCCATCTATGCGGTGCCGCCTCCCATCTCTACGCGATCCGCCAACTCCCGAGCGCCGTGGCCCCGCATCGCGCGTCAAGCGAACGGAAGCCGGGCGGACTCCTCTCGCTCGCTTACCTCTGCTAGAAGACTCGAGGGTGGGGGGGAGGGTGGGGGGGAGGGTGGGGGGTGCGGGGGGCGGGGTTAGCCCTGAGCCTGACCCTAACACTGACACCAAATCTCAGCCTCCCCTGCCATATACAACAACACTCTCCCCCAAGTCGACCCTACATGAGCTCCTCTCATTGTTTCAGGAGTCGCAAGGGGGGGGTGGGGGGGAGAGGGGGTGGAGTCACGAGGGCCACGAGGTTTAGGCCACGACCGGAGGCCAGTTGGGTTGAATCCGAGCGGCCAAATCGTCAGACGTGTGGACTCTGGGGTCAACGCCGCGCCGAACCGCGGTCGCCGGCCGGGAGCGGCATCGCCGACTTCGCGCTTGCGGCGATGCCGCGGGGAAGGGGAGGGACGCGGCGCCTCTCCCCTTGAAGGGCCGTGGCTCTAAATGCACTTGGATTTGATCGTCATCGAAACGAGTGGGGAAGGGGGGAGAGGGGGGAGCTGTAAACAAGAGTGGCGCGCCAGCCTCCCGCGCGGCGCTCTCACGAGCGGCGCGCCGTCGACGCGCCGCGGCCACCCGCTGCAGGAGGGGGGGGGGGGGGAAACGTCCGATCTCCGAGAGGCGTCTTGGACCGCTCCCCCCCGCCCGTCCGCCGCCTCGGTCATCTCTCGAGCAGCCGCCGCAGCGCCCGCTCGATGTTCATGCGGTGGCCGACGCGCGTCACGCCCAGCTCCAGCAGGTCGTCCTTGCGTAGCGCCGGCAGGTGCGAGCCGTCGATCTCGTTGTGCAGGAAGCGCTCGCGGTGCTCGCCGAGGTTGAGCGCCTCGAGCCAGTCGGCGACGTCGTGCTTCGACCACAGGTGCAGCGGCTTGCCGGCGAGCGCCGGCCCGCGGGGCGGCGAGCCCGGCGAGGCCGGCGAGGCCGGCGAGGCCGGCGAGCGCGGCCGGGGGGAGCCGGGGCGGCCCTCGCCGCGGACGTCGAGGGGCGACAGCAGCGACGCCGGCCGCTCGTCCGACGGGAAGCCGGCGGGGGACGCGCGCCGGGAGCCGCCCGCCGACGCCGAGGCGCCGGCGCGGTCGTCGCCGGAGGAGAAGAGGCTCGGAGAGCGGCGCAGGAGCGGGCGGTCGGGGCCGTGCGGCGTCGAGGCCCCCGCGGGGCCCGGGCGGCCCTTGAGCGAGGCGTGCACCACCGGGCGGCTGGAGCCGGGCCGCACCGTGAAGGTGACGCCCTCGCCGCCAAACCTGCCGGGGGGAAGAGGGGGGGGAGGGGGGAGGGGTTTGGTCGTCGTCGATGGAAACCGAAGATTCGTCGGTTCATGCTCTCTACTACACCACCTCTGTCACCTCCCCGTGTCCCCCCCCCACCTCGCCCCGTGTCCCCCCCCCACCTCCCCACACCCCCCCCACCTCCCCACACTCCCCCACACCCCCCCACCTCCCCACACCCCACCTCCCCACACCCCCCCCCCCTCACCTCCCCGTGTATCCCTGCGTGGGACCGTTGCGCTCCGTCATCTGCTGGAGCCGCGAGCTCAGCTCGTTGATGACGCTGGCGCGAGCGTCCGCGTGGCCGGGCGCCGGCAGCAGCCCCGGGGAGGACATCGCGGGCCCCGCCGTCGCCTCCACGCCCCACAGCCGGCTCCTGCGGCCGCCACCGCCAGCCGCCGGCGCCGGGACGGGGGCGGGCGGGCGGGCGGGCGGGCGGGCGGGTGAGGCACAGGAGGGGGAGGCACAGGAGGGTGAGGCACAGGAGGGGAGGCACAGGAGGCGAGGCACAGGAGGGGAGGCACAGGAGGAGAGGCACAGGAGGGCAGGCGGGGCACAGGAGGGGAGGCACAGGAGGGCGAGGCACAGGAGGGGAGGCACAGGAGGAGAGGCACAGGAGGGGAGGCACAGGAGGGCGAGGCACAGGAGGGGAGGCACAGGAGGAGAGGCACAGGAGGGGAGGCACAGGAGGGCGAGGCACAGGAGGGGGGGCACAGGAGGGGAGGCACAGGAGGGCGAGGCACAGGAGGGGAGGCACAGGAGGGGGGGCACAGGAGGGGGGGCACAGGAGGGCGTTAGGCGACGCGCAACGCTCGACCGCCACCGCACCAAATTCGATGAACTTGGCACCGTTCCGGAGCCGACGATTTGGGTTCCCGGCTGGGGCCATCAACTCGCCACATTCGAGAATCCAGTTTCATTCACAGCCGAAACTGTGGCTCTCTATGCGAGTCTGAGGTTCTCTATGCGAGTCTACGGGTCTCTGTGCGAGTCTATGGAACTCTATGCGTGTCTATGGGCCTCTGAGAGTTTATGGCACTCTGTGTGAGTCCAAGGCTATCCCTGTGAGTCTACGGCTCTCTATGCGAGTCTACGGGTCTCTATGCGAGTCTACAGGTCTCTATGCGAGTCTACGGCGCTCTCTGCGAGTCGATGGGTCTCTGCGTAAGTCGTCGGCGACCCGGCTCAGATCATCCGCTCGCCACACTCGAGAACGCCGTTTGATAATTACGGGCCAACGTTTCGGACCACAGCCCCTTTTCATGGCACGTAGAGAAAAGGCTCACTTACCACAACGTCACCCATCATCTATTTTCTTTCCCTCCCTATTAAACGATACTCGGCGGGCCACGTATGTCTGCAGACACGGCGGCGTTACGGTTTGTTTTTGCTGCTGTACGCTGTGCTTGTGTGCAACTCAGCAGCAGCAGCAGTGTTTAGCTTGTTGTCCTCCCCGGACCTCCAAACAGCACGGTTGGCTACGTCAAAGGATGCGCTTCTGCGGCCGTCTGGAACGCTCTTCCCTTCCGGTACTAGGAAGCCCGCCGGGAGCTGTGGGCGCTTGCGAATCATCGTTCTCGACAACTGCTTCTCTGGCACGTCGTTAGTGGTCCTTCCCCCACGCCTCCGGTTGGCGCGCTCTCGTCTGCCTTCCGACGATCACACTTTGGGATTTTCATCGCCCGCCCAGGCCGCCGCCGCCGCCGCTGCCCCTTTCCCGCACAAGCGATGGCCTCACATCGGCGACGACCGAATCGAGGGAAAAAGCTCCCGGAGAGAAGCTACCCACACCCCCACCCCCCCCCCCCCCGACCCGCCCCACCCCGGGGCGGCGCGCATGGCGAAACGTTGGACGGCCGCCAGCAGAGCCGGCCGCGATGGCGCGACCAATCAACATGAAAGGGGCGGGTAGAGAGAGAGAGAGAGAAGAGACAGAATTCAAGAACAAAAAGCAACAAAAAAAGCAAGCCGTGGCGATCCGCGGCGGCGGCGACGCACCTGGAGTTCGGAGCGAGCGGTGCGAGCACAGGGTCCCAGGGAGACCTGACGATGCCCGTGAACATGGGCGGAAGAGGTGGCGGAGGTGGCGGTGGAGGAGGAGGAGGAGGTGGCGGCGGCGGCGGCGCTTGCTCCGTCTGCTGCTGCTGCTGGAAAGCCCCGGGGCTGGAGGGAGCGTCGTCCGCGCTCCTCCTGACGCCCACTTCCGCGTAGAGGCCGCCCGATGACGTCGCCTGCGATTGGTCGAAGCCACGCGGCGTGCCGGGTGACGGCCGAGCAGGAGGAGGGAGGGGGGGAGGGGCGTGTTACGACGGGGGTGACCGTCGTCCTCTAAGCGGGCGAGTGGACGAGCGAGCGAGCGGGCGAGCGAGTCATCGAGCGAGTTGGCGAATGAACGAATGAGTGAGCGAAATAGTAAGCAGACGGATGAGCGAGCGAGCGAATCGTTAAGGCGAGGAGTGACCTAAGTGAGTGAGCAAGCGAGGGGGCAAGGAGCGAGCATCTTGAGTGGGGGCGAACAGGCGGATGGGCGAGCAAGTGAGTGCACGAGCAAGGAGCGAGCGAGCGAACGAGCGCGAGCCGCACGGTTAGGTCGTGGCGAGGTCGCGGTGAGATCGCGGCGAGGTCACCGTGAGGGTCGCGGCGAGGTCACGGTGAGATCGCGGCGAGGTCACGTGGGGCCGCGGCAAGGTCACGTGAGGGTCGCGGCGAGGTCACGGTCAGGTCGCGGCGAGGTCAAGCGAGGCGACGGCGAGGGTCGCGGCGAGGCGGCGCCGAGGTCGCGGCGAGGGTCGCTCGCCTTGAGCTTGGGCTTGGGCGGCACGGGCGGCTTGTCCGCCAGGAGGGGCTGAGCGTCGGCGTGCGACGCGCAGCCGTCGGGCCCCTCGGAGACGCCGACGCCCTCCGACGAGACGGTGGAGATGCTCGACACGGTGGACACGGTGCTGGTCGTCTCCAGGTGGTGGTCGCTGCAGCTGCCCTGCGGCGGTCGCGGCGACGGGCAAAGGGGGCGGGGCGGTGGTCACTCGCACGCCCGCCCGCTCGCTCGCACACTCGCCCGCCCGCTGTCGCCCACTCGTTCACACACTCGCTCGCTGTCGCCCACTCGTTCACACACTCGCCTGCCCGCTCGCTCACACACTCGCACGCTCGCCGTCGCCCACTCATTGCTGGGCCCGCTCACTCAAAACGCCCGCCTCTGTCTCCTCGACTCGTTCAGCGACTCGCTCACTCACTCCGGTCAGTTGTTGACTCGCTACGCTGCTTCACTCTGTAGCTCGCCCACCTGCCCGCTCGCTCGTTCACTCACTCCGCGAGCCCTTCCTCCACGTAACCAGAAGGGGCTGTACTTGTGCCTTTAAGCACGCAGTGGTATTAACCAGGGCCGCCAGCGGGAAAAGGGGGAGGTTTCAAACTCGAATCTCTGCAAATGAGCAGCAGCAAAACTATTAAAACAATTTTTGTTTAACCAGGTAAGGCCCACTGAGCTATGTAGCGGCTCATCGTCACGTGGATATTTATAGCAGTAACCAAATGACTCTTGAACGTGCGATGTCGATTCTAATTGCGGAGGGGAGAAAACGGAGGACCCACAGAAAAATCCACGCGACCACGGGGAGGGAGAGAGACGCGCAAACTTCAAATGTACAACGGGCGTCAGGGGTCGGGATCAAACCCACGACCTCTCGCATACCAGGCGAGGTAGTCAACATCCCACGGCCGCCGCGGCCGGCGAGCGACCCACCTCCACGCCCGAGTCCGTGTTGGCGTCGCCGGTTTCGCCCGCGCTCTGCGGGGCGGCTGCCGCGAGCTCCAGCTCGAGCTCTTTGGCCGCGGCGTCGCACGCCTCCTCCATCTTGTCGCCCCGCCCCTCCTCCATCTTGTCACCCCGCCCCTCCGCCATCTTGTCGCCCCGCCCCTCCGCCATCTTGTCGCCCCGCCCCTCCTCCATCTTGTCGCCCCGCCCCTCCGCCGGCGTGCCGCCGCCGCCGCCGTCCGGCGCCGCCGGCTCGGCCTCGTCGTCCGCCGCGATCGTCGCGTCATCACCGACGTCGTCACCGGGTTTGTCCTGCGGATGCGAAATCGCACGCACGAGTTGGCGAGGCCGACGGGCTCGGGGGGGGGGGGGGGGTGGGGGGGGGGGGGGCGCTCGCCGCTCGTTGCGGAGGCTCGCGCGGTTCGAGACCCGGCGGCCGCCCCGGTTCACGGCCGTCGTTTTTTTTGTCGTTGTCGTCGTTTTGCCTCCGATACCCCGACATCGACGCCGCAGGGCTCGGCGAGGGTTGGGCTCAACTGCGCGGTGCGCGCGGGGAAGATCCCCGCGACGTCACTCGCAAGCGCAGCGCCGCCAGCCGCGTGCCGATCGGCGGTCACGGCCGACAATTTCGTCACGTACATGTAAACGTAAACGTACGCATGCGTACGTGTGCGGAACTTCTTTCGCGCCGCACGATCCTGACCGCGCCGTCGCACCGCGTACCGACGTCAACCGGTAAGCGGCCTCTAACCGCTTAGGTTTCCCAATCGTTGAATAATTGTACAATGTTAAAAACTGCGCAGGGTTTAACACGTAGGCTTTCAGTTTAACACGTAGGCTTTCGCGACCAATATTATTCTAATTAGAGAATCCATTGAAATTGAGAGGAACAAGAATAACTTTAATCGCTCTGACAGCTACCGGCTTAGTGCGGCCTGGAAGCGTATTATTAAATAATACACATTACATTTTGATTTAAAGAATTACTAATCTACAACTCATTACTAATCATAACCAATGACTGATTACTAATCGATTATATAATTACAATACCCCCCCCCCCTCCGCCTCTAATCACTGCACCTGATATGAGTTAAGTGATGACGTCACCCTGCTGCTCAATATAAAACCGGGAGCAAGCGAGGGCTTTACCATTCTGGCGAATTGCCCGATGATGCTGGATGTAATTACCAGCGAAACGTCACGGTACTCAAATTTTAAATGATGTTGATTAACTCTTCAACACACCGGTGGACTAAAGTAGTGAACTATTTGTCCTTTGTAAACGTGACACTTCTTTCTGCTGTTTGGCCGTGTCGGGTGGTGGAGGGTTACGACACATTTATAAATAACGCGATCTAACCCAAAAACCTTTATTATGAACTACACAGGGTTTGATGAAACAAAGTTGTGCTTTCGTTGCCCCGTGCCATGTCTGCTCTAGACGCACGCTCGCTGCACGTTCTCCCCGCTTAGCAAGAGGACGAGCGAGGCGGGAGGAGACCCACAGCGATCGTGGCCGGCGCCGCCGTGCCGCCCTCGTCCTCGGCCGTCCTCGCCGGCCCCTCCGGCACCAGCGTCTCCGTGCTGCCCTGGTCGTCCTCGGCGACGCCCGCCGCGTCGCCCTCGAAACCGAGCGGGGGCGGCAGGGGGTCGGTGAACACGAAGTCCTCCTCGCCGTCGCTCGGCACGCTCGGCAGGGACTCCAGCGGCGGCCCCGCGGGGCCCGGCGCGGCCCCGCCCGGCGCCCGTGGCTCCTCGTGTCGGGGCGACGCCGCACGGCCGCCGCCGACGGCGGCATCTTCCGGCTCCGCCGCGACGTCGCCCGTCTGGAAGCTCGTCTCGAGTACGGCGTTCTCCCGCTGCTGCTCCTGCTGCTGCTGCTGCTGCGGTGTGAGCTTCTCCTCCTGCGAGGAATCCGAGGTCGTCATGCTCTCCAGCCGCTTGATCTTCTCGCGCACGCTACACTCCTCCGGCAGGGACGCGGCGTCTCCGTCGCCTTCGCCGCCGCCGCCCCGCCCCGCCACCGGCGACACCATGAGCAACCCGGCGACGGGAGGCGGTTCGTCGGCACGGCCGCCCGCCGCCCCGCACGAGCGGGCCTCGATCTCCCGCCGCAGCGTGCCGGGCGTCCCCCAGTTGCCGTCGGGCGCGGCCGACGGCACCCGGGCGTAGCCACCCTTGATGCCCGGCGAGAAGGCCGGCGGGGAGACGAAAGCGGCGTCGGCGCGCCGCGGCGCCGGCGCCGCCGCCGCGGACTCCCGTCCGGGCGTCTCGACAAAGAGCGGCGCCATCGGCGGCCCGGCCGCGACGGCGTCGCCGCCGTCCGGACGCGTCGCCACATCCGGCGCGCTGCCGCCGACGCCGGTCGCGGCGTGCAGCACCATCCTCATCGTGGCCATCATGGCGCCCTCGTCGACCGAGCGCGACAGCCGCAGGCCGGCCGACGGCGGCACGAGGTGGCGGTCGTCGCCGCGGGCCTCCGTCGACGGGAAGCTGGCGGACGAGCGGCGTTCCTCCAGGAGGTGCGTGCGGTTCGGCCCAACGGGCGGCGGCTGCGGCGGCGGCGGCGGTGGGGGGCAAACGCCGGCGCCGTCCTGCGAGCCTGCGGGACCGACGCACGCCGCCAACCCCGCCGTCTGCCGTTAGCGTGCGGGCCAAGGACGGCCGGGCGGGCCGGCGGTCCAAGGCTCGTGCAAATTTTGGGGGGGTGGGTTTGGGGGTGGTTTGGGGGGGTTGGGGGGGTGGGTTGGGGGAGGGGGCACCTCGAGAACCCCTGCCCCACGTGGTGGATCCAATCCCAGCCGACCTCTCACCTCTGGCGCCGGCGGGCGAGGGCGGTGGCGGCGGCGGCGCCGGCGAGACGGAGCGCCGGTCGGGGCTGCCCGCGACGCGGCCCTGCTTCACCAGCGTGGCCTTGCGCCGTGCCGGCTTGGTGGGCGCCAGGTCGGCCGCGTTCACCAGCCCCACGTTGGCGTACGGGTTCTCCGGTGGCGCTTTACCCCGCCGACCACGCTGCTGCTGCTGCTGTGGTTGCTGCTGCTGCTGCTGCTGTGGTTGCTGCTGCTGCTGCTGCTCCCGCTGCTGCGTCGCCGGGCACCAGGAGGACGAGGAGGAGGACGAGGAGTTCGAAGAGGAGCCGGACGACGAGGTCGACGAGGCGGAGAAAACGGCGGCGCCGGCGGACGCGCAGGAGGCCGGCGCCGGCGGCGGCGGCGGCGGCGGCGAGGGCAGCAGCGGGCTGGGCGGGCTGGAGATGCCGGTGGGCACGACGGGCCGGTACGGGAGCTCCTGCAGGAGGATCATGGAGCGGGCCTTGGCGCGCCGCTCGCTCGGGGAGAGTGCCGGCGTGCCGAGGCCCGGGCCCTCCGACAGCTCCGACACTGGGGGAGGAGAAGTTGGGGGCGGTGACGGGGGGGGGGAGGAGGGGGGGAGGTTGCGGCAGGGCAACAAAGTTTTCAAAGTTTTTTTTATTTGGTAAAAACAAAATTGCCGATTCTGTCCCCGTCGTCTGTGGCGTCAGCGACGTGATCTAGGAGCTAAGAGGTGCCAGGGTGGAGGTGCTGCTGCTGGCCATGACGAGAGACTTGGTGTCGTGTCGCTGTTCCTCCTCCGTTGAAGGAGCGCAGACCGCAGTGGGTTTACTTTTTGGCCCATCGACTAAAATTGCTCCTGCACTGCCCATAGACTTAACATTGCCCGTAGACTTAACATTGCCCATAGACTTAACATTGCCCATAGACTTAACATTGCCCATAGAGTTAACATTGCCCATAGACTTAACATTGCCCGTAGACTTAACATTGCCCGTAGACTTAACATTGCCCATAGACTTAACATTGCCCATAGACTTAACATTGCCCATAGACTTAACATTGCCCATAGACTTAACATTGCCCGTAGACTTAACATTGCCCGTAGACTTAACATTGCACATAGACTTAACATTGCCCATAGACTTAACATTGCCCGTATAATCGACATTGCCCATAGACTTAACATTGCCCATAGACTGAACATTGCCCATAGACTTAACATTGCCCGTAGACTTAACATTGCCCATAGACTGAACATTGCTCATAGACTGAACATTGCCCATATACTGAACATTGCCCATAGACTGAACATTGCCCATAGACTTAACATTGCCCGTATAATCGACATTGCCCATAGACTTAACATTGCCCATAGACTGAACATTGCTCATAGACTTAACATTGCCCGTAGACTTAACATTGCCCATAGACTTAATATTGCCCATAGACTTACCATTGCCCATATACTGAACATTGCCCATAGCCTGAACATTGCCCATAGACATAACATTGCCCATAGACATAACATTGCCCATAGACTTAACATTGCCCATAGACTTAACATTGCCAATAGACTAACATTGCCAATAGACTTAACATTGCCCATAGACTTAACATGGCCCATAGACTTAACATTGCCAATAGACTAACATTGCCAAAAGACTTAACATTGCCCATAGACTTAACATTGCCCATAGACTACCATTGCCCATAGACTTAACATTGCCCATAGACTTAACATTGCCCATAGACTTAACATTGCCCATAGACTACCATTGCCCATAGACTTAACATTTCCTATTGACCTAACATTGCCCATAGACTTAACATTGCCCATATACTACCATTGCCCATAGACTTAACATTGCCCGTAGACTTAACATTGCCCATAGACTTAACATTGCCCATAGACCTAACATTGCCCATAGACTTAACATTGCCCATAGACTACCATTGCCCATAGACTTAACATTTCCTATTGACCTAACATTGCCCATAGACTTAACATTGCCCATAGACTACCATTGCCCATAGACTTAACATTGCCCGTAGACTTAACATTGCCCATAGACTTAACATTGCCCATAGACCTAACATTGCCCATAGACTTAACATTGCCCATATACTTAACATTGCCCATAGACTTAACATTGCCCATAGACTTAGCATTGCCCATAGACTATTCTCATTCTTGTGTATGGCCCAAGTGTTTAGGGGGATAAATTCCCAATGTCGAGGTCTGCTGCTGCTGCTGCCACGAGACAGAAAGACAGCGAGAGAGAGAGACAGCGAGACAGAGACAGAGAGAGCGAGACAGAGAGACACAGAGAGAGACAGCGAGAGAGACAGACAGAGACAGACAGTGAGAGAGACAGAGACAGAGAGAGACAGAGAGACAGCGAGACACAGAGAGACACAGAGATAGAGAGAGACAGACAGCGAGAGAGAGAGACAGAGAGACAGCGAGAGAGTCAGAGAGGGACAGCGAGAGACAGCGAGACAGAGAGAGACAGAGAGAGACAGAGAAAGACAGAGAGACAGAGAGAGACAGCGAGACAGACAATGAGAGACAGACAGAGACAGAAAGTGAGAGAGACAGAGACAGAGAGAGACAGAGAGACAGCGAGAGACAGAGAAAGACAGAGAGAGACAGCAAGAGAGAGACAGAGAGGGACAGCGAGAGACAGCGAGAGACAGCGAGACAGAGAGAGACAGCGAGACAGAGAGACAGAGAGAGACAGCGAGACAGACAGAGAGACAGACAGAGACAGACAGTGAGAGAGACAGAGACAGAGAGAGACAGCGAGACAGAGAGACAAACAGAGAGCGAGAGAGAGACAGAGAGACACAGAGAGACACAGAGAGACAGACAGCGAGAGACAGAGAGAAACGCCTCCCCTCCCCCCCCGCGATTGCCACGGTGCTCACCGGACGACGCGGCGCCAATGCCGCCGCCGCCGCCGCCGCCGCCGCCGCCCAGCCCGTGCAGCTTCGCCTCCGCGTTGGGGTTGAAGCTGGAGCGCACGCTGCCTTCCCCCCACGGCAGCGGCGGCCGGGCCACCACGGCGGCGTGCGCCGGCGGGGGCGGCGGGCGGCGGCGGCGTGAACGCCGGCGGGGGAGCGTTGCCCTCCGAGGGCGTGGGGGGACGGCGGCTGCGGCGGCGGCGGCGGCGGCGGCACCGGCGAGGTCGGCGGGGCGGGAGGCGCCGCGCCCGGCTCGTCGGACGAGTCCGGCATGGAGACGCTGCGGGTGAAGCGCAGCGCCGGCGGCGCCAGGAGCCCCTTGCGGTCGTCGTAGTGGCCTGGGCGGGACGCGAGACGATCGGCCGACGCCGCAGCTTGGTCGGGCGAGCGGCGAGCGCGGCGGTCGGGGTGAGGGCGGTCGGGGTGAGGGCGGTCGGGGTGAGGGTGGTCGGGGTGAGGGCGGTCGGGGTGAGGGTGGTCGGGGTGAGGGCGGTCGGGTGAGGGCGGTCGGGGTGAGGGCGGTAGGGGTGAGGGTGGTCGGGGTGAGGGCGGTCGGGGTGAGGGCGGTCGGGGTGAGGGTGGTCGGGGTGAGGGCGGTCGGGGTGAGGGCGGTCGGGGTGAGGGCGGTCGGGGTGAGGGCGGTCGGGGTGAGGGCGGTAGGGGTGAGGGTGGTCGGGGTGAGGGCGGTCGGGGTGTGGGCGGTCGGGGTGAGGGTGGTCGGGGTGAGGGCGGTCGGGGTGAGGGTGGTCAGGGTGAGGGTGGTCGGGGTGAGGGCGGTAGGGGTGAGGGCGGTCGGGGTGAGGGCGGTAGGGGTGAGGGTGGTCGGGGTGAGGGTGGTCAGGGTGAGGGTGGTCGGGGTGAGGGCGGTCGGGGTGAGGGCGGTCGGGGTGAGGGTGGTCGGGGTGAGGGCGATCGGGGTGAGGGCGGTCGGGGTGAGGGCGGTCGGGGTGAGGGTGGTCGGGGTGAGGGTGGTCGGGGTGAGGGGGGTCGGGGTGAGTGCGGCGAGCGGTGAGGGGTGAGTGTGGTAGGGGTGAGGGTGGTCGGGGTGAGTGCGGTGAGCGGTGAGGGGTGAGTGTGGTAGGGGTGAGGGTGGTCGGGGTGAGGGTGGTCGGGGTGAGTGCGGCGAGCGGTGAGGGGTGAGTGTGGTAGGGGTGAGGGTGGTCGGGGTGAGTGCGGTGAGCGGTGAGGGGTGAGTGTGGTAGGGGTGAGGGTGGTCGGGGTGAGCGCGGTGAGCAGTGAGGGGTGAGGGCGGTCGGGGTGAGGGCGGTCGGGGTGAGTGCGGCGAGCGGTGAGGGGTGAGTGTGGTAGGGGTGAGGGTGGTCGGGGTGAGTGCGGTGAGCGGTGAGGGGTGAGTGTGGTAGGGGTGAGGGTGGTCGGGGTGAGTGCGGTGAGCGGTGAGGGGTGAGTGTGGTAGGGGTGAGCGGGTGAACGCGGCGGTGGGTCGATGAAAGCCGAGCATGTGACGGGGGTGTTTGGTGAACGTTGCGGGGAGGAGAGAGGTGGTCAGCGTGGCGAGAGAGCGAGTGAGCGCGGCAAGTGAGTGAGCGTGGCTAACGAGCGAGGTGAGCGAGTGAGCGAGGCGAGTGTTGAGCGAGTGTGGTGAGCGAGTGTGTTGAGCGAGTGTGGTGAGCGTGGCGAGTGAGCGAGGCGAGTGTTGAGCGAGTGTGGTGAGCGTGGCGAGTGAGCGAGGCGAGTGAGCGAGGCGAGTGTGGTGAGTGAGCGAGTGTGGTGAGCGAGGCGAGTGTTGAGCGAGTGTGGTGAGCATGGCGAGTGAGCGAGTGTGGTGAGCGTGGCCGAGTGTGGTGAGCGTGGCGAGTGAGCGCGGCGAGTGTTGAGCGTGGCGAGTGAGCGAGTGTGTTGAGCGAGTGTGGTGAGCGTGGCGAGTGAGCGAGGCGAGTGTGGTGAGCGTGGCGAGTGAGCGAGGCGAGTGTGGTGAGCGTGGCGAGTGAGCGAGTGTTGAGCGAGTGTGGTGAGCGTGGCGAGTGTTGAACGAGTGTGGTGAGCGAGTGTGGTGAGCGTGGCGAGTGTTGAACGAGTGTGGTGAGCGTGGCGAGTGAGCGAGGCGAGTGTGGTGAGCGAGTGTGGTGAGCGTGGCGAGTGAGCGAGTGTTGAGCGAGTGTGGTGAGCGTGGCGAGTGAGCGAGTGTTGAGCGAGTGTGGTGAGCGTGGCGAGTGAGCGAGTGTTGAGCGAGTGTGGTGAGCGTGGTGAGTGAGCGAGTGAGCGTGGCGAGTGAGCGAGGCGAGTGTTGAGCGAGTGTGGTGAGCGTGGCGAGTGAGCGAGTGTGGTGAGCGTGGAGAGTGTTGAGCGAGTGTGGTGAGCGTGGCGAGTGTTGAACGAGTGTGGTGAGCGAGTGTGGTGAGCGTGGCGAGTGTTGAACGAGTGTGGTGAGCGTGGCGAGTGAGCGAGGCGAGTGTGGTGAGCGAGTGTGGTGAGCGTGGCGAGTGAGCGAGTGTTGAGCGAGTGTGGTGAGCGTGGCGAGTGAGCGAGTGTTGAGCGAGTGTGGTGAGCGTGGCGAGTGAGCGAGTGTTGAGCGAGTGTGGTGAGCGTGGTGAGTGAGCGAGTGAGCGTGGCGAGTGAGCGAGGCGAGTGTTGAGCGAGTGTGGTGAGCGTGGCGAGTGAGCGAGTGTGGTGAGCGTGGAGAGTGTTGAGCGAGTGTGGTGAGCGTGGCGAGTGAGCGAGTGCGGGCCTCACTGCTCGACTGCTGCCGTGAGAGGGGCCCGCGCTGGAGGGGGATCGTCGGCCGCTCCGCCAGCGAGGACGGGGACCGGGGCGCGGCCGCCACCCCCTGCCGCTCAAACAGGGCCTGGCGTGGGACAGAGGCAAAGGTCTCCCGTGTAGCCTCGGAGACAAGACCGTTGTGTCGTCGAGTGATGTTGGCATGCGCGCGGTTAAGGCGGGTCAAGGGCGGGTCAAGGGCGGGTCAAGGGCGGGTCAAGGGCGGGTCAAGGGCGGGTCAAGGGCGGGTCAAGGGCGGGTCAAGGGCGGGTCAAGGCCGGGCGCGCCGAGCGACGAGGAGGTCGCGTTAACGTCTCACCGCGATCTCGCTGTGCGTGTGTGTATCTGTGTGTGTGTGTGTATCTGTGTGTGTGTATCTGTGTGTGTGTGTCTGTGTGTGTGTATCTGTGTGTGTGTGTCTGTGTGTGTGTATCTGTGTGTGTGTGTATCTGTGTGTGTGTGTCTGTGTGTGTGTGTCACTATGTGTGTGTGTGTATCTGTGTGTGTGTATCTATGTGTGTGTGTCTGTGTGTGTGTGTATCTGTGTGTGTGTGTCTGTGTGTGTGTGTCACTATGTGTGTGTGTGTGTCTGTGTGTGTGTGTATCTGTGTGTGTGTGTGTGTCTGTGTGTGTGTGTCACTATGTGTGTGTGTCTGTGTGTGTGTGTATCTGTGTGTGTGTGTGTCTGTGCGTGTGTGTCACTATGTGTGTGTGTGGGGAGCGGTGGTGTAGCGGTTAGCGAGCCGCTCTACGAACCTAGCGACCCGGGTTCGATTCCCGCTCACGGCCAACACCCAGTGATCATTATCTGAACCGGTCCTGGGCCTCCCCTAGGTCGACTCAGCCTTAAATGAGTACCCGTGCGGTGTGCAGTAAACATCTCTGCGTGCGTGTAGGTGTGTGTGTGTGTGTACGTGCGTGTCTATGCATGTGTGCGTGTAGGTGTGTGCGTGCGTGTAGGTGTATGTGTGTGTGCGTGTGTGCGCGTGTCTACGCGTGCGTGTGTGCGTGCGTGTCTACGTGTGCGTGCCTGTCTACGTGTGCGTGCGTGTCTACGCGTGCGTGCGTGCGTGTCTACGCGTGCGTGCGTGTAGGTGCGTGTGCGTGTAGGTGCGTGTGTGTGCGTGCGTGTCTACGCGTGCGTGCGTGCGTGCGTGTAGGTGCGTGTGCGTGTAGGTGCGTGTGCGTGTAGGTGCGTGTGCGTGCGTGCGTGTCTCACGGCGATCTCTGCGTGCGTGATCCGTCTGCTGGTGGGCCGCTGCCTCACGGTGGCGGCACGCGAGTCCGCCTCCGCATTCTCCGAGCCGATCGTCCGGTCCACGGCCGCCAGCATCTCATCCAGCTTCTCTGTGGGCCCGCGGTGGCGGTGGTGGTGGCAATGTTAGTGGGGGTAGTGGTGGTGGTAGTGGCAATGTTAGTGGTGTTGGCAATGTTAGTGGGGGTAGTGGTGGTGGTAGTGGCAATGTTAGTGGTGTTGGCAATGTTAGTGGGGGTAGTGGTGGTAGTGGCAATGTTAGTGGTGGTGGCAATGTTAGTAGGGGTAGTGGTGGTGGTAGTAGCAATGTTAGTGGTGGTGGCAATGTTAGTGGTGGTGGTAGTGGCAATGTTAGTGGTGGTGGCAATGTTAGTGGGGGTAGTGGTGGTGGTAGTGGCAATGTTAGTGGTGGTGGCAATGTTAAGGAGGTGGTGGTGGTAGTGGCAATGTTAGTGGTGGTGGCAATGTTAGTGGGGGTAGTGGTGGTGGTAGTGGCAATGTTAGTGGTGGTGGCAAAGTTAGTGGTGGTGGCAATGTTAGTGGTGGTGGCAATGTTAGTGGTGGTAGTGGTGGTAGTGGCAATGTTAGTGGTGGTGGCAATGTTAGTGGGGGTAGTGGTGGTAGTGGAAATGTTAGTGGTGGTAGCAATGTTAAGGAGGTGGTGGTGGTAATGGCAATGTTAGTGGTGGTGGCAATGTTAGTGGGGGTAGTGGTGGTAGTGGCAATGTTAGTGGTGGTAGCAATGTTAAGGAGGTGGTGGTGGTAGTGGCAATGTTAGTGGTGGTGGCAATGTTAAGGAGGTGGTGGTGGTAGTGGAAATGTTAGTGGTGGTAGCAATGTTAAGGAGGTGGTGGTGGTAATGGCAATGTTAGTGGTGGTGGCAATGTTAGTGGGGGTAGTGGTGGTAGTGGCAATGTTAGTGGTGGTAGCAATGTTAAGGAGGTGGTGGTGGTAGTGGCAATGTTAGTGGTGGTGGCAATGTTAGTGGGGGTAGTGGTGGTAGTGGCAATGTTAGTGGTGGAAGCAATGTTAAGGAGGTGGTGGTGGTAGTGGCAATGTTAGTGGTGGTGGCAATGTTAAGGAGGTGGTGGTGGTAGTGGCAATGTTAGTGGTGGTGGCAATGTTAAGGAGGTGGTGGTGGTAGTGGAAATGTTAGTGGTGGTTGTGATGATGATTATGGTGGTGGTGGCAATGTTAGTGTGGGTGGTTGTGATGATGATTATGGTGGTGGTGGCAATGTTAGTGGTGGTGGTTGTGATAATGATTATGATGGTGGTGGCAATGTTAGTGTGGGTGGTTGTGATGATGATTATGGCGGTGGTGGTGGCAATGTTAGTGTGGGTGGTTGTTGTCATGATTATGGTGGTGGTGGTAGCAACCAAGATAATGGAAATGTTAGTGGTGGTGTTAGGTGGCAGCGGAAGAAGAGTTGGTGGTAGTGGTAGTGGTGGGGGGGGGGGGGGTAGGTCAGGTGACAGCTGCAGTTTAACAGACGGAATCATTGACAACGGCAAAGATCCCCCGTATAGCCTTCACAGACTGTCGGGGCAAGTGCTGTTAAGCGAGCAGCACCTATTAAAAAACGGCACACACAGCAAAAATAAAAACCCGTCACTTAGACCCACTTGTCAATCAACTCCCTTTCGGTGACATCGGGGGCTATTTGACCATACTTCACCACACTGGTTAGTGCGAGTTGATAAAGGTTCTAGGATCGGGGGGTGGGGGAGGGGGGTCAGGGGTCGGAGGTCGAAGCAGTTTAGTTGCCCTCCTCCACCGATGGGTCGAGCCGTGCACCAAATTACAAACGGTGGTGGTAACCGGCGAAGTGTTAACCGGCGAAGTGTTAACCAGCGAAGTGTTAACCGGCGAAGTGTTAACCGGCGAGGAATCGCCCCCCCCCCCACCACCACCCGAGTGAGTAGCTGGCGTCCGGCTCCAATTTTCCAAAACGGGCTCACATGGGCGGAGGGCGAAACAGACCGAGGAGAGTGTGCCGGTCTCTACGGATGTGAGACAGCGCTCTTGTTAAGGTGCTCTACTTAAGAATTACACATTGTACATTAGGTATTGGGTGTTGGGGAAGGGATGGGAAGGGATGGCAAGGGAGGGTGATGGTAGGGTAAGGGATGGGATTTGAGTGATGGGGGTGGGATGGCAAGGGAGGGTGATGGTAGGGCAAGGGATGGGATTTGAGTGATGGGGTGGGATGGCAAGGGAGGGTGATGGTAGGGCAAGGGATGGGATTTGAGTGATGGGGGTGGGATGGAAAGAAAGGGTGATGGTAGGGCAAGGGATGGGATTTGAGTGATGGGGGTGGGATGGCAAGGGAAGGTGATGGTAGGGCAAGGGATGGGATTTGAGTGATGGGGGATGGCAAGGGAGGGTGATGGTAGGGCAAGGGATGGGATTTGAGTGATGGGGGTGGGAGGGCAAGGGAAGGTGATGGTAGGGCAAGGGATGGGATTTGAGTGATGGGGGTGGGATGGCAAGGGAGGGTGATGGTAGGGCAAGAGATGGGATTTGGGTGATGGGGGAGGGATGGTAAGGGAGGGTGATGGTAGGGCAAGGGATGGGATTTGAGTGATGGGGGTGGGATGGCAAGGGAGGGTGATGGTAGGGCAAGGGATGGGATTTCAGTGATGGGGGAGGGATGGTAAGGGAGGGTGATGGTAGGGCAAGGGATGGGATTTGAGTGATGGGGGTGGGATGGCAAGGGAGGGTGATGGTAGGGCAAGGGATGGGATTTGAGTGATGGGGGTGGGATGGCAAGGGAGGGTGATGGTAGGGCAAGGGATGGGATTTGAGTGATGGGGGTGGGATGGCAAGGGAGGGTGATGGTAGGGCAAGGGATGGGATTTGAGTGATGGGGGGTGGGATGGCAAGGGAGGGTGATGGTAGGGCAAGGGATGGGATTTGAGTGATGGGGGTGGGATGGCAAGGGAGGGTGATGGTAGGGCAAGGGATGGGATTTGAGTGATGGGGGTGGGATGGCAAGGGAGGGTGATGGTAGGGCAAGGGATGGGATTTGAGTGATGGGGGTGGGATGGCAAGGGAGGGTGATGGTAGGGCAAGGGATGGGATTTGAGTGATGGGGGAGGGATGGCAAGGGAGGGTGATGGTAGGACAAGGGAGGGCTGGCGAGGTGAGGAAGGGGAAGAGGGGAGGGGAGGTTGGCGAAGGTTTTAAGGATGCGGACAGGAAGTTTGCTCGTCGTGGGAGTAGCAAACCACGTGGGTCAATCTCCCGAGGGAGCGTGCACCAGCCCACATTGCGAAAGCCTCTGACACGTTAAGACGTTTTGGCCGTGTCGGGCGGTGGCGGGTTTTAACGACGCGTGAATATATTCACCCGATCTCACAACAACAACAAACAAACAAATACGTAATATTTAAAAAATACTTTTTTTTTAAAAACACGCTTTAATGAAATGTACCGTACTCGTAATGACAGAACTCCACGACTCTAGGAAGTGGACCCCGAAGCTTGGCCATAACGTCAAGGACCGTGACCAATTACAGCCAACGTCAGTTGAGCGTGGACAATTAGCCACGAGCCGAAACATAACATATAGAAAATAATGTTTAATACCATGTTTTTTTATGTGTAATGATAGAATATGGTATTGTCATCAGTATGACATAAGTATACCAAGTTTCGATTTAAAGCTTTCGTGACTGCAATGATTCATCTTCTTTGGTTCTTTCGGTAAAGTCACGTAGAATGAGAATAAAATAATAAATTGATAAAATAAAATAACACAATAATATTCTCACGACGTTGTGGCCGAAACGTCGTGAGAATTTTATTGTGTTATTTTACTTTATTAATTTATTATTTTATTCTCATTCTACGTGGTGACTTTACCGAAAGAACCAAAGAAGATATACCAAGTTTGCAGTCGATACCACACTGGGAAGTGGGTTAAAAATTGAGTTACAAGATTTGAGGATACAACAACAACAACAACAAAAACAGACAGAGTGAGTTAATAGAAAGCGTGCAATAATAATAATAATAAAACCCCCTCTATTACGGATCGACGGATCTGACCGACCCATTTGCGCAGACGTGCAAGTGCGGCGACGGGACGGAGGAGCAAAACAAAAGGCACGGGCTAAAGGTCGGACGGTCTAACACGGAGGAGTCGGAGTAGTCGCGACCAAGATCGTTCATGATCAAGGTTTTGCTGGGGTTAGATCGCGTAGGTATGAATGGTGCGTCGTCGTAACCCTCCACCACCCTCCACAGCCAACTAGTAGGGAAATTTGTCACGTAAACAAAACGCCAATTAGTTACGGTATAGTGTGTAGTGTAGTGTATGGTGTAGTGTAGTGTGTAGCGTATAGTGTAGTGTATGGTGTAGTGTAGTGTGTAGTGTATGGTGTAGTGTATAGTGTAGTGTATAGTGTAGTGTATGGTGTAGTATAGAGTGTAGTGTATAGTGTAGTGTATAGTAGTGTAGTGTATGGTGTAGTCTAGTGTGTAGTGTAGTGTGTAGTGTAGTGTATGGTGTAGTGTAGAGTGTAGTGTATGGTGTAGTGTAGTGTGTAGTGTATAGTGTAGTGTATAGTGTAGTGTATGGTGTAGTGTAGTATGTAGTGTATAGTGTAGTGTATAGTGTAGTGTATGGTGTAGTCCAGTGTGTAGTGTATAGTGTTGTGTATAGTGCAGTGTACAGTGTAGTGTATAGTGTAGTGTATGGTGTAGTGTATGGTGTAGTGTATAGTAGTGTGTAGTGTATAGTGTCGTGTATAGTGTAGTGTATAGTGTAGTGTATGGTGTAGTGTAGTGTGTAGTGTATAGTGTAGTGTATAGTGTAGTGTATGGTGTAGTCTAGTGTGTAGTGTATAGTGTAGTGTACAGTGTAGTGTATAGTGTAGTGTATGGTGTAGTGTATGGTGTAGTGTATAGTAGTGTGTAGTGTATAGTGTAGTGTATAGTGTAGTGTATAGTGTAGTGTATAGTGTAGTGTATGGTGTAGTGTAGTGTGTAGTGTATAGTGTAGTGTATAGTGTCGTGTATAGTGTAGTGCATAGTGTAGTGTATGGTGTAGTCTAGTGTGTAGTGTATAGTGTAGTGTATAGTGTAGTGTATAGTGTAGTGTATGGTGTAGTGTATAGTAGTGTATAGTGTCGTGTATAGTGTAGTGTATAGTGTAGTGTATAGTAGTGTGTAGTAGTGTAGTGTATAGTGTAGTGTATAGTGTAGTGTATAGTGTAGTGTACAGTAGTGTGTAGTGTATAGTGTCGTGTATAGTGTAGTGTACTACTTCAGCCCACCGGTGTGTTTGGAGAGTAAATCCACAACATTCACAATTTGAGTACGACAATTACAATTCCTTTTCGAGGAAACACACACTAATGAACTGATTACTAATCTATTATATCATTACAATACCCCCCCTCCTCCATCTCTGATGGGTTCAGTGATGACGTCGTCTTGCTCTATTTAACACCGGAAGCAGGTGGCCAGCTTCACTCTTCTGGCAAATCGCCTGATGATGCTGGTTGTGGTCATTAGCAGTGAAACGGCGCGGAACTCGAAGTGTTGTGGATTTACTCTCCAACACACACCGGTGGGCTGAGGTGGTACACTACACTATACACTACAATGCACACTACACACTATACACCACACCATACACTACAATACACACTACACTACACACTACACTATACACTACACTATGCACCACACTATACACTACACTATACACTACACTGCACGCTACACTATACACTACTATACACTACACTGTACACTACACTATACAACCATACTATACACTATACTGTAACTAATTGGCGTTTTGTTTACGTGACAAATCCCTTACCAGTTGGCTGTGTCGGGTGGTGGAGGGTTACGACGACACACCATTCATACCTACACGATCGAACCCCACAAAACCTTGATTATGAAACACGGACGGAGCGCTCGGCAGGGGGGGGCGGTGGGGAGCGGGCGGGCGGTGTACACTCACCGGGCTCAATCATCCTCCTGTCGGCTGCGGCGTGAAACACACAACAAGGAAACAGAGGTAACGCAGAGCACGGGTGACGAACGGCCGCGGGGACCGCGGGTCTCTGTGGGTTTCCGTGGGTCTCTGTGGGGTCTCTGTGGGGCCTCTGTGAGGTTTTGTGGGTCTCTGTGGGGTTTTGTGGGTCTCTGTGGGGTTTTGTGGGTTTATGTGGGTCTCTGTGGGGGTTTTGTGGGCCTCTGTGAGGTTTTGTTGGTTCCTGTGGGTCTCTGTGGGGTTCTGTGGGTCTCTGTGGGGTTTTGTGGGTCTCCGTGGGGGTCTCTGTGGGGTTTTGTGGGTTTCTGTAGGGTTTTGTGGGTTTCTGTAGGGTTTTGTGGGTTTCTCTGGGTCTCTATGGGCCTCGATGGGTCTCTATGGCTCTCTTCCAATATTCTGAAGCCACTTGGATCTGTGCACTTTTAAATCACCGTCTAGGCTGACAAACTCACTTTTTTAGAACTGCGTTGAGTGTTTGGTTTGTCGTCCCTCCCCCCTCCCAACCCCCGGGCACCTTGACGTACGCACTTATGTAAGTAACCATGGCCTCGCAACGAAGATGCACACTGTGCAACAACGCCTGTCGCCTCGCAGGACGTGCATTGAATCAAGTCTAGGAGATCGCTGGGCCCTTCCTGCTGAAATAAATAACACGATGAATAATGAATATACTTTACATTTTACGGACGGGGGGGGGGGGGGGGCGGGTCAAGTCTATTATTTTCACACATTCAAACAAACATGCTTTTGGTGTTCTCCCGGTCTGACACTGGTGGTGAGACTGGGCCCTGAAGGACGCTGTAGCTGTCTCTGTTGTAGGCCAATCAGTGTCAAAGACAATGCCCATAAATTATTATCAGAGCCATGTGTGTTTGAATGTTCACCACAAGTACTGTGTGTGGTTAAAATGGAGTACTTGATTCCTTTGTAAAAAGGTTTTTATTTGGTGTTTATTAATACAAACATACTCTTTGGTTCTTTCGGTAAAGTCACGTAGGGAGAAAAAGTGAAATAAAACTAAAAAACATTTTTTTATTTTATTTTTCTACCCACGTGACTTTACCGAAAGAACCAAGGAGGATGGATTCCTGCAGTCACGAAAGCTTCAAGTCTAAAATATTAACACAACTCCTGATTTATTTCCAGAAAGGGGTAAAAATTCCCCATTCTTATTTTCCAAACTTTGATCCTGGCAAAAAGGCTTCGGTGATAAAAGTATTTTTTTTTTTTTACCACAGCCAATCAGCCCCGCGGCCTTCTGGGAGGGCGCGAATCCAGCGGCGTTGAGTCGGCACAAGCCTGGAGAGAGAGCTGGATGGAGTTTAAAAGAACTCGCGACCAAACACCTCGTTGGGAGAGACCCAACGCAGAAGATCTCCACCACCCCCGCCCCCTCCTGGGGTTTGATCTCCTGTGAAGCTGTTCACGGTCCACCCCCTAAAACCCGCAGCCGCTGCACAAACCATGGCAGCAGCGGCAGCAGATGCGGACGATACCCCGATGGATTGCCAGCAAGGGGTGAAACCCCATTCTTATTTTTCATACGTGCCGATGATGATGACGACGACGACGACCTTCGGGGCGATGACAAAATGCCCCCCCCCCTTCCCCCGTCTCATCTCGCTTCTCTACCCCCCCACCCCCAGTCTCCAGCGGTCCCTCCCCGCGCCTCCCTCGCCCAACCTGCTGCGCCCGATTCGCGCTCTGTCGCTCCCTCCTCCGATCTCGCTACCCTGCGCCTGGAGCCAACTCTCCCCACCGCAGCACACAAAGACGACCGTCTTCACTGATTTGACGACCCAACTATTTAAACCATTTTTGTTTTGTTTCGTTCGCCAGGCTAGGCCCCACTGAACTGCTGCAGCAGCGCAGCTCTATTTTCGGAAGCGACCCGGCCTACCGTCGTCACGTGGAATTGCACAGCGGGCAAATCCTCGAAGCGTAGAAAAATGCCACGTGACCAACGTTGGGGAGAGAGAGAGAGACGCGCAAACTCCAAATTTACAGCAGGCGTCAGGGTCAGGATCGAACCCACGACCTTCTGCGTTCCGGGCGAGGTGGTTAACATCTCCTAGCCACTGCTCCTCCTTTAAAAACAACCCACATCTCCTGCCTAGCCCATCCCGCTACCGCTACAAGCCACCGTTTAAAAAGTAAAAATTTGTATTTTTTATCATCGCTGAAAAGCGTGGGGCAGGCGTGTCGTGAAGGTGGAAACGAATCCTGACGAACAATCGTGCAGCAACACAAACGTCTCCCCCTACACCCACATCACTCACGCCTGTATATATACAACAACCGCCACTCGCCACAAAGTGGCGGTGACATCACCACGGCGCTTGTGCCAGGCCAGGTGCACGTTGAGGCCACGTGAAGCGTCGAACGCCCGCCGGCAGGAGGTCACGGGGCAGACCCAGCAGGTGCCGTGGGTCGACCGACTGAGATGACCCTACTGGCAGATGCACCACCTGTGCCCCCTACCGTGCCAACGTGTATATCATATACACACACGAACCTTATCACGCACGTAACGACTTGACATCCTCCCGTCCGTGAGCGAACAATTTCCATGCAACATCACCCCTGCATTTCGTGTGTTACACACGTACATGCACGCGTTCCAATGCACGTGGCTTTGGGCATGTGAAACCGCAATCGGTTTACTTGAAGCGTCGTTACAGCCCTAGATGGTAAAAATCACATCAAGGGGCATAAACCGTCGTGCGGAATCTCGGTCACCCCCGCGGCAGCGGCGGCATTTTGGCCGAGCCATTGAACAAATACGGCGGCGGTCACCGCATCGTTGCGCGCCGTCGGCTTGCGCTTCTCTTCAGCGGCCGTCTGGAACGCGCTCTTCCTCCGTCACGGCATCGGGAAGCCGCCGGAGCTGCGCGATTTTAAAAGTCATCCAATTTGAAAAACCGATTTTGTTTTGAAAAAAAAAAAAACTAAATGCTTCTTGCGCTCAGTTTGTCGTCCTTAACCCCGCACCTCCGATTAGCCGCGGTCGGCTACGTACGGTGCGGAAGAAGTTCAACGCGTACGCAACGCAGAACGACGGTCACTCACCGGGAGGTGGCCTGGTGGCGAACCCTAAACGTCAATAGCCAAAAAAATTAATCCTGAACCCCCCCCCCCCCCAGGACCTGCACCCCCCCGCCCCCCTTGCTCCCCCCCCTCTCTCCCAGCATCTCCCCGACGCGTCCCCCACCCCCGCCCCCTTCCCCCCCCCTCCCCCACCCCCGTCGAGGCCTTACCCAGCTCCTCGAGCTCCGCCGTCATAGACTTGGAGCGCATGGAGAGCGCCGTGGTCGGGGCGCGCTTTGGAGGCGTGGGGGCTACGGGGAGCAGCACCGGGGCCGGATGCGGGCAGCGACGGGGGCCCGCGTCCGCGTGTGTCCGTGCGTGTGTGTCCGTGTGTGCGTGTCCGTGTGTGCGTGTGTGTGTGCGTGTGCGTGTGTCCATGTGTGTGTGTGCGTGTGTGCGCGTCCGTGTGTGCGTGTCCGTGTGTGCGTGTCCGTGTCCGTGTGTGTGTGTGCGTGTGTGCGTGTGTGTGTGCGTGTGTGTGTGCGTGTGTGTGTGCGTGTCCATGTGTGTGTGTGTGCGTGCGTGTGTCCGTGCGTGTGTGCGCGTCCGTGCGTCCGTGTGTGCGTGTGCCCGTGCGTGTGTCCATGTGTCCGTGCGTGCGTGTGTTTGTGCGCGCGTGTAAGGATTGAAAGGCGGTGGGGTGAGAAGCGAAGCATGGATCACGTTTGGTGTCGGGAGGAGGAGGACGGGAGGAGGGGGGGGGGGGAGGTGGAACGCGGAATCGGGGGGGGTGGGGGGGGGGGAGAGGAGGATACGGGGGAGAGAGTTTGCGAAGTGAGAGGCAGGTCGTGATTGACGGTGGAGAGAGGCGAGGAGGAGAGAGTTTGCACGGGGAGAGTGGTAGGGGAGAGGAAACAGAATGGGGGAGGGGGGCGACGTGCGATGGGAGAGCGAGGAGACGGGAGAGCGGCGTGGAGAGACAGCGGGGTGGTGACGGAGCGTGACGGTGGACGTTGGCGCGGCGACGTTAACACGACAAGAGCAATGCGGGCGGCGGTGGCGGTGGAGGCGGTGGAGGTGGTGGTGATGATCGAGCGGAGGTGATGTGCGAGGGCGGAACGGGAAAGCAAGGAGACAAACAGACAGACAGATGCAGAGAGACAGACAGATGCACTACGTTAGCTTCTTGGGGGGGGGAGGGGTGGTGGTCCAGAACAGATGAAGCAAACACAGCAACACATTTTCGCTCGGCGCTCGGCACGGCTCGGCCAACGCTCGGCTGACGAGGGCCGCCGCGGTCCCCGCGCTGTCACGCACTCTCCCATTGTCGCACAAAATAAGCCGCGGCAAAGGCATAGATCCCCCGTGTGGCATTAACAGACGGTCAGGGCAAGTGCTGTTAGCGAGCCGCATTCACTCACTCGCGCTACGGTGGTGAGATGCTGACTACCTCGCCTGGTACGCAGGAGGTCGTGGGTTCGATCCTGACCCTGACGCCTGCTGCTGTATATTTAGAGTTTGCGTCTCTCATCATCATCACGGTGGCTATGAGATGTTAACTACCTCGCCTGATACGCAGGAGGTCGTGGGTTCGATCCCGACCCTGACGCCTGCTGCTGCTGTATATTTGGAGTTTGAGTGTCTCTCTCTCATCATCATCACGGTGGCTATGAGATGTTAACTACCTCGCCTGGTACGCAGGAGGTCGTGGGTTCGATCCCGACCCTGACGCCTGCTGCTGCTGCTGTATATTTGGAGTTTGCGTGTCTCTCTCCCCGTGGTCGTGTAGTTTTGTTTTTTCTCCAGGTCCTCCCCGTTTTTTCCCCTCCACATTTAGTGACATGGCATTGAGGTTATTTGGTGCAATAAATGACCAAATGATGGGGCCACTTTGTTGAGCGGCTATCATGCGTGGTGGCCAGGCCGCTTCTGAAAAACAAGTTAATAACCTCAGTGGGCCTTTGCCTGGTAGGATGGGGATGGTTTAGTTCTATTAGCATGTGTCTGGGCGAATGGTTTTCCCGTCTTGCGGTGGACTTCTCCACAAATCTGGCTGCCGCCTGATGAAGCCGGTTGTAATTACTGGCGAAACGTCGTTACTCAGTTTGTAAATGTCGTGGCTTGGCTCTCCAACACACAACTGGTGTTGCTGTACTCGTGACGAATTGGCCACGTTCTGTTCACGTGACAACCCTTACTAGGTGGCTGTGTCGGGTGGTGGCGGGTTTTAACGACACATTCATTTATTTACGCCATCTAACCCAAAAACCTCTATTATGGATGATATTGGTCGCGAAATCCTCCTACGTGTTAAACTGGTTCTTACTACTTCCCCCCTTCCTGGACACGCGTGACAAAAAGAGTTTCGTAGCTTATCGGATTCCTCCTGTGGTATAAATAAAGATTCTGATTCTGGTGGCATTGGCCAATTCGTTCCAAATCGCAGAGCCCCCTGGTTCACTGGGCGCACCCGCACAGAGGCAGCTGCCACTGAGGGGGGCGAGGGGGTCCCCTAGGCTAGCAGCGAGCAGTGGAGATTATTTAGACAAGTATTTAGATGATTATTTAGATGATTATTTACAATATTATTTAGATGATTATTTATATGATTATTCAGATGAGTATTTAGATGATTATTTAGATGATTATTTAGATGAGTATTTAGATGATTATTTAGATGATTATTTACAATAATATTTAGATGATTATTTATATGATTATTTAGATGAGTATTTAGATGATTATTTAGAAGATTATTAAGATGATTATGTAGATGAGTATTTAGATGATTATTTATAAGATTATTTAGATGATTATTTAGAAGATTATTTATAAGATTATTTAGATGATCATTTTGAAAATTATTTAGACAATTATTGAGATGATTATTGAAATTATGATTTAGAAGATTACTTAGATGATTATTTACATTAATATTTAAAAGATTATTTAGATGATTATTTAGAAAAAAAATTAGAAGATTATTTAGATGTTTACTTAAATGATTATTTAGAAGATTACTTAGATGATTATTTAGATTCTTATTTTGCTGCTACATATTTCCGCGTGATGACAAGCCACTTTTGTTGAGCTATCGCTTGTGGCCAGGTCGCGTCTGAATAAACAAGTTGAAACCTCCAGTGGACTATTACCTGCTAAGATAAAAAAAAAATTCAGTTTCATCTGTATATTTTGTTCAGCGATGTGTTTACCTTTCATATACTTTGCGCCGTTAGCGTGTTTTTTGTTATTGTTTGTCGCCGTTGCGACGTTCTGTCCCCCGTGTACCCCTATACTGGGACATCCGTGAGAAACGAGAAGAGCTTTATAGCTCATCGGATTCCTCCTGCAGCATAAAAAATCACGAAATAAAAAGAGCCTGTAACACCACGGACGGGCCACGTAACAGTTACGTACAACAATTATACTAAATATACTAATCACAATTAAGTTTGAAATTTGCCCGTACAATCGGGAGACTTGCTTTACGATCAGGATCTGAGTTAGATGGCGGGGAGTGCCGCGGTGGGGGGGGGGGGAGGCGTGGGGAGTCAGGCGTGGGGGGGGGGGCCCTTGCGCTACTTGGGGGGCGTTTATTCCTTGTTTTTGTTTGCCGAGCCTGCCCGTGCCTTCTCTTTGCGCCGGCTGGTTTGGCTTCTCGGCTTCCGACTGCTACACACAGCAAGGACGTCTCAAGAATACGCGGGGCTCACCCGGGGTACTCAGCGGCGGCCCCCGCTCAAACGCGATCATCCCCCGCCCCACCCACCGACCCCCCCCAACCCCACCGATCCGCACTCGCGCTCTGTGCGGCTCGTGCTTTCGCAACACGCACGGAGCGGGAAGCGCGGGGTACAAACCGCCCCTCCCCGCCGCCATCACGCGAGCGTTCGACGCGACGGCGTGCGACTCCAGCGGCCGCGCGAGAAACGAGTCACAAAATTTCGAGCGTTCTAGTGAGGCCCCCCCCCCCTCCACACCCCACACACACACCGTGAGGGCCCCCCCCCCCCCCCCCGGGCCCCCCCCCCCCCACCCCGCCGGTGTGGGCCGTACCTTTCCTGCGGGCGGCCTCGGCGTTGTCGGGCCTCCGGTTCACCGTCACCACTTTGAGCACCAGGCTGTTGCCTCCGTGCCGGATCATCTGCACCACGTGGCGGTGGCCGGCCTTCACCACGTTCTCCCCGTTCACCTGGCACGCAGGTGAGGCCGGCGGCACGCAGGTGAGGCCGGCGGTTACGGATTGGGGGGGGGGGGGGGTGACCCTATTACATAGAACAACGAAGACAAAGATCCACCACCACCCCCCCCGCCCGCATAGCCTGTAACAGACTGTTGGGGCAAGTGCTCTGAAGGCCGTCGGCACCGGCGTTGGCCATGGGCGGGAATCGAACTCGGGTCGCTGGGTTCGTAAGCGCGGCGGCGCTGACCACTGCGCCACCGCCCCCCGCAGAAATATGCGCACACACACACACACGCACACACACACACACACACGCACACACACACACACGCACACACACACACGCACACACACACACACACACGCACACACACGCACACACACACACGCACACACACACACATGCTCGCACAAACACACACACGCACGCACACACACATGCTCGCACAAACACACACACGCACGCACACACACGCGCACACGCACACGCTCGCACAAACACACGCACACACACGCACACACGCACGCGCACACACACACGCTGGCACATACGCGCGCACGCACGCACGCACACACGCTCGCACACACACGCATGCACAACAACAGCAACAACCGCCATTCGTCACTAAGTGGCGGTGACGTCACCACGACGCTTGTGCCAGGCCATGTGCACACGCACGCACGCACGCACAAAACTCAAAAGCTCCCCAGCCAGCCGTGACAACCGAAAAGCTCGGTTGGCTACGTACGGTGCGCAAGACGTTCGAGTTAAGTAAGCACTGTTAGCGAGCGCCCATCAAGGCCAACGCGCCACACGCAAGCCAGAGATTTGTGTCTCGGCACCCCCCCCCCCCATCGCCCCCCCCCCCCCCCCACCGTCGGCCACGAACCACCAAGGCAGTAAAAAATCCCCGCGCGCAATTCGCCGCCGCATTTTCGCGCTAAATTAATTGTACAACCAACGGCTCGTGACCGCTGGGAGCTCATCGAGGGCACGCTCGTTAGCGCGACGGTAATTGCTGACGAACCCCCCCCCCCCCCACCCCCCGTCCACCGCCACCGCGGTGCGACCAGAAACCCCTACGAGCGAGATAAAAATGCGACAGGAGTCGAGGGCGGACCAAGCGTAACTAACCCACCGCACCAGGTGGCTCATTTGAGGCCCGAGTCGACCTAGGGGAGGCCCGGGGGAACTTTTTCCGGGTCGGCGTTCGTCACCGGTGCTGGTGGCCGCGAGCGTGGGAATCGAACTCGGGTCGACGGGTTCGGAGCGCGCTAACCGGCGCACCACCACTCCCCACAGCACACAAAGACAACGATCCCCCAGATAGCCTGCAACAGAGTGTCTGGGGCAAGTGCTCTTAGTGCTGCACCAAAGCACACACACAAAGACAAAGATCCCCCGTGTAGCCTGTAACAGAGTGTCGGGGCAAGTGCTCTTAGTGCTGCACCAAAGCACACACACAAAGACAAAGATCCTCCGTGTAGCCTGTAACAGAGTGTCGGGGCAAGTGCTCTTAGCGCTGCACCACAGCACACACACAAAGACAAAGATCCCCCAGATAGCCTGCAACAGAGTGTCTGGGGCAAGTGCTCTTAGCGCTGCACCACAGCACACACACAAAGACAAAGATCCCCCAGATAGCCTGCAACAGAGTGTCGGGGCAAGTGCAGCGCCTATGAGAGCCGGCACGGCGCACGAGGGGGGTGGGGTGGGTGGCCAGCGCCGCACTTTTATCTCACCGGTGACCCCTGCCCCAACCCCTCCCTCCCTCCCCGCCACCGGCGTCGCTCGGGATGGCCTACTACGGCCTACGACGGCCCACGACGGCCTACGACAAGACGGGGCCGGAGGACTCCGGGACGACGACCGCGACCCATCTCTCTTCCGCTCTCTCCTCTCTCCTCTCTCCGCGTCTCTCACCTCCAGCAGGAAGTCGCCCATCTTGAGTCCGGAGCGGAAGGCGACGCCGTCCTCATCCACCGACTCGAGGTACTGCAGCGCCGGGAAGGCGACGCTCGGCGTGAAGTCCTCGATGGGCACGTCCGCTGCTCCAGGAGGGGGAATGCGTCAAATTAAACCGCCGCTCCCCGCCGTTCAAGGAGGAGCTGTTGCGAGAGCCGAGCAGGGAATTTCGGAGGCGGACACGTGGGCTCTACAACTGTTTTTCTATTTTTTTCTATTTGTATAAAGTGCACGGGGGGTGTTGTCGTTGACGAGCACGCGTGGAGTTTCACGATCGTCGTTTGCCGTAGTTGTTTAACGCGTAGCAGGAGGCTTTCTCGAACAATATCATCCATTTCGATTTGAAACTTTCGTGACTGCAAGGATTCATCTTCTTTGGTTCTTTCGGTAAAGTCACGTAGAATGAGAATAAAATGATAAATTGATAAAATAAATTAACACAATAATATTCTCACGACGTTTCGGCCACAACACAAGCGGCCTTCATCAGGTGAAGGGACGAGACTGTCTGGAGGACAGCGCTGGAGCGAAAAAGCCACGCTCAGATCGCGACCTTTAAGCTGTGTGAGAAGAAACAAAGCGCCTTAACAAAGGAATTAGCATTGAATTTAGCATTGAAATAGCTGAGTGATTAGCTTGTGACTGGTCACAGAAATGGCTTTGTCAAGGCGCTTTGTTTCTTCTCAGACAGCTTAAAGGTCGCGATCTGAGCGTGGCTTTTCGCTCCAGCGCTGTCCTCCAGACAGTCTCGTCCCTTCACCTGATCAAGGCTGCTTGTGTTGTGGCCGAAACGTCGTGAGAATATTATTGTGTTAATTTATTTTATCAATTTATTATTTTATTCTCATTCTACATGACTTTACCAAAAGAACCAAAGAATATCATCCATAACAGGTTTTTTTTCTTGGGTTACATCGCGTAAATATATAAATGTTGTGTCGTTAAACCCGCCACCACCCGACACAGCCAACTAGTAAGGGGTTGTCACGTGAACAGAACGTGGCCAATTCGTTACTAGTACAGCACTAGTGTATAGTGTAGTGTATAGTGTAGTATACTAGTACAGCACTACACCGGTTGTGTGTTTTGAGAGCAAAGCCACGACATTTACAATCTGAAGTGCGACGTTTCGCCAGTAATTACAACCGGCTTCATCAGGCGACAATGGGGACGATGGGGACCACGGGGAACGATGGGGAACAATGGGGACGATGGGGACGATGGGGACAATGGTGATGATGGTGATGATGGGAACGATGGTGACGATGGTGACGATGGTGACCACGGGTGACGATGGTGACGATGGTGACGATGGGGACAATGGGGACAATGGTGATGATGGTGACGATGGTGACGATGGTGACGATGGTGACCACGGGTGACGATGGTGACGACGGTGACGACGGTGACGATGGTGACCACGGGTGACGATGGTGACGATGGTGACGGTGGTGACGATGGTGCCGATGGGAACAATGGTGACGATGGTGACGATGGTGACCACGGGCGACGATGGTGACGATGGTGACGATGGTGACGATGGTGACCATGGTGACGATGGTGACGATGGTGACGATGGGAACGATGGTGACCACGGGTGATGATGGTGACGACGGTGACGATGGTGACGATGGTGACGATGGTGACCACGGGTGACGATGGTGACGATGGTGACCACGGGTGACGATGGTGACGATGGTGACGATGATGACGATGGTGACGATGGGGACCATGGTGACGATGGTGACGATGGTGACGATGGTGACCACGGGTGACGATGGTGACCACTGGTGACGATGGTGACGACGGTGATGACGGTGACGACGGGGTGTCTACCTTTCGCGCCACGCAGCACAAATCCGAAGCCCTCGCTGTCGCGCTTCTGCAGCACCACGGTGCGCTCTTCGATCACAAACTCGCTGCGCCGACAACCGGAAGGAGGAGGAGGAGGAGGAAGATTTTACAATCGGCCCCCCCATCGCCCCCCCCCGCACCCCACAATCCCACCCCCCCCCCCGACCCCCCCCCCCCCGACACGCGCGTTGAGCCCGTGCCACGCGCCACAGACGCACGAATCTCCGGCTCCGGCCTCAAAACGCCGTTGAGCGTTCCCACGTCCCTGGGGCCGCCAGCGGCGCGTGGCCAAAAAGCTCGGGGGAGGGGGGGGGGGGGTGTGGTGGGTGGCCAGCACCGCGCCCGACCGCCTTTGTCTCCCCCAGCGCCGTTGGTTTAACGCATCGCACCAGGCACTCGTTTAAAGGCTGAGTCGACCTAGGGGAGGCGGCGCACGATCGATGCCGATAGCCGTCGCCGGCGGGTTCGTAGCGCCGTGCGCCAACCCATCACTGTCCGCTTACCGGCACGCACACACACAACAACAACAATCGCCATTCGCCACTAAGTGGCGGTGACGTCACCACGACGCTTGTGCCAGGCCATGTGCACCTTGAGGCCACGTGAAGTGTCGAACGCCCGCGGGCAGGAAGTCACGGGGCAGATCCAGGTGCCACGGGTCGACTGACTGAGATGACTGGCTGGTGCACCACCTGTGCCCCCTACTGTGCCAACCTGCTGTGCTTTAGCCACCCGGCGCTCCGCTCGTTGTTGTGAGCGTCGCTCCTCCGCCCTCCGTTGTTGTTGAAGGGCGACTGCCTCCAACTGCCTAATAGCGTCCTTCACGAGCCTCCTCCACAGAGGCCGATCTTGACACCGCTGGTACCAGTCATCGGCAAGTCCACTCAGCTCCACGTCCTCCTGTACCACATCACTCCATCTCTTCTCTAGCCCGTGCCGCGCCCGTTTAGCCCCCTCGATCCGGCCGAACAAAAGCTGTTTCGGCATGCGGTGGCTGGGCATGTGGGCTACATGACCCAGCCAACGCAGCCTTGCCTGCCGGAGGAGCTCACCGATGGGACCTTGCCCAGATCTTTCAAGGATTTGTGAGCTCCTCACACAATCCAGTCTGGTTAAACCCAGGATGGATCGTAGGCAGGCCAGCCTAAATGTTTCCAACCGGCGAAGATGCTCCATTAAGGAGGTCCACGTTTCGCAAGTGTAGAGAAGGGAGGGAATGACCGTGGCCGAGAAGACTTGAAGCTTAGTGCAGAGCGACAGACCAGGTAGCTTCCACACAGCATTACGCAACCGATGAAAAGATATTGCCACTCGACTGATTCGGAGTGAGACCTCTGCTGTTAAACTGCAGCCGGTCATAAGTACACTGCCCAGGTATGGGAAACTCTCCACTCTCTCTACAACTGCCCCATCACCGATTGGGAGTTGTGGGGGTGGAGTGTCCGATGGTACAAAATACCCAAGCATGTGCTTAGTTTTGGTGGGGCTGATGGTAAGGCCCCATCTCTTAGTGGCACGCTCCAGTCTCAGCAGCAGCGTCTCCAACTCCTCCTCTGAATGAGCAGCTATTACCAAATCATCAGCAAACATAACGTGGTTGAGCAATAGGGAGCCATCCCTTGACCGCACCCGGGCATTGATCAGCCTCCCAATATATCTGTACCAAATGGAGATTCCTCCGGTACAGCTATTGAAGGCTTCACGAACTACGTGGTCAAAATAGATGTTAAATAATGTGGGAGCCAGAGGACATCCCTGTCGCACCCCAAGGTGTACAGGGAATGGCCCTGACTCCCGGCCATGTAGTTTTACCCGGGCCCGCTCACCATCATGAAGGTCCTTAATGATCGTGAGCAGAGGGTCAGGGACTCCAAAAGCATGAAGAACAACCCAGAGCCCAGGCCTACTGATGGTATCATAGGCCTTGACCAGGTCAATAAAGCAGAGATGTAGGTCTTGTTGGAATTCCCTACACCTCTGCTGTATCAGACGCCCTTTCCTGAAACTGCATTGGGGCTCCGCAAGCCTCTCCTCAGCGTGCCTGGCAAGGCAGTGTTGAATAATCAGTGCCAGGACCTTTCCCGGCACACTGAGGAGTGAGATGCCCCTGTAGTTGTTACAGTCTGTGCGGTCCCCCTTCTTAAAGAGGGGGACCACGCACGCACACACATACACGCACACATGCACGCACACATGCACGCGCAGGCACGCACATACATACACGCGCGGGCACGCACATACATACATACACGCGCGGGCACGCACATACATACATACATACACTCGCGGGCACGCACACATACACGCGCGGGCACGCACACGCACGCACGCACACACACGCACACGCACGCACACACACGCACACGCACGCACACACACACACACACGCACGCATTTGCGCTCACATGGACGAACTTGCGCGCCAACGTGTGGAACACTTGCATGGCGGACACAGCCTCACCTGGAGGAGCTGACGCTGTTGTAGGAGCTGACCGTGTAGTGCCTGAAGAGTCTCTTCGACCTGTCCTCCCTTGTTTCTGCAACGGGGCGAAGCACAAACATGCTGGCGCCTGCCACACGAACGTAGAATGTCCGCTTCGCAACAAGGGGGGGGGGGGGGGGACTTTAAAAGGACGTGGCGAAGTGCCCGCTGCCTGAAAAATCACCGATGACGTCTCTCTCGCTCTCTCGACGGGCTCAAGCCTCAAGTAAAGCACGTGACTCCCGTGTGGCCACGCCCACTCTGAACCCCTCCGCCCCTCTCCCCTCTGCCGCTGCCCACTCTGAAAACAGACTCCTCCTCCTCCCACCTCCTCCCACCTCCCCACTCCTCCTCCCACCTCCTTCTCCCTCCCTCCGCCCTCCTCCCTTCCTCCTCCCTCCTCTCCTCCCTCCCTCCCCTCCCCTCCCTCCCTCCCTCCCTCCCACCTCCTCCCTCCCCCCTCCCGGATGGCGACCGCTGAGTGCCCACCTCCTAACTGCGGCCACACCCACCACGCTTGCCAGCAGCAGCGTGCACGCGGCCCCCGGAGCGCTCGCTGACCCCGAGAGCTCTCGTTCTTGTGCGTCTGCACGTGCGTCTGCGCGCGTGTGCGCGCGCGTGCACGTGTGTGTGCACGCGTGTGTGCGTGTGTGTGTGTGCACGCGTGTGTGCGTGTGTGTGCACGTGTGTGCGTCCTTGTGGCGTGGTTGCTGGCCACCCTGCGGCCTCGTGCGCCGTGCTGGCCTTCGTAGGTGCTCGCTAACAGCACTTGCCCCTACAGTCTATGAAGGCTATACGGGGGATCTTTATCTTTGTGCACGTGAGCGTCTGCGTGCGTGCGTGCGTGCGTGCGCGCCCACCTGGGGGGGTTTCCGCCGTCCTCATCTGCACCTCCTGCACGCAGTCGGCCGGGAACCAGCCCGTGCGTCCGTGCACACAGCCCTCCCAGTACCCGGCCTCCCCCACGCTCAGCACTGCGCGCAGGAGACGGAGTCGGACGGGGACAAATCCTGAGCGCGCGCCGCTCGGGAGAGCCGGGAGAGCGACGCCGGCGACGGGAACCGCGGCGGGGCGGGCCTGGCGGTCGCAGGGGTTTCACGCTTCCAATTCCGGTGGCCGCCCCCGACCAACGCTGCGGTTGGTGCGAATTCACCGTGACGCTAGCAAGGCGCCCGGACGCGAGAGCCGCGGCGACGCCGTTGGCTAGGGGAGAGGCCCGAAGGGCGTCCCCGGTTATCACGGTCCAAAATTTTCCACAAATGTTCCGCAAAAATTACACCGCAAGCTACTCGAATTGGGATCATACACAAAGACAAAGACCCCCCCCCCCCGTGTAGTCTCAGCAGACTGTTGGGGCAAATGCTGTTAGCGAGCAGCACCTATGAAGGCCGGAACGGCACACGAGGGGGGTGGGTGGGCCAGCACCACGCCCGGCCGCCTTTGTCTTCCCGAGTGACGATGTTTACTACACACCGCACCGGGTACTACTCATTTGAGGCCGAGCCGACCTAGGGGGAGGCCCAGGACCGGTTCAGATAATCGTCACTGGGTGTTGGTGGGCGCGAGCGGGAATCGAACTCGGGTCGCCGGGTTCGTGGTGCAGCGCTGCGCTGACCGCTGCGCCACCGCTCCCCCGAATCGGGATCGCGCGGAAATCCCCGGCACCGCCCCTTGGAGGACTGACGCCCCCAGGGCGCTCTTGCAAATGAAAAGCGCCGTGGTATCCTGAGCTCCCGTGGCGGGGCCTGCATTTGAATAAACTGCCCCGCAGGGTTGTGAGAATCTGGACGATCGCCGTAAACCGCCGTGCGGACGCGGGCGACGGCAGCGGCACGGTTCGGCTTCCGCGGTGGGAAAACAAAGCTGGCGCGGCCCTCGTGCGGCGCTGGCGCTGGCGCGGCGCTGGTGCGGCCCTGGTGCGGCTCCGGTGCGGCCCTGGTCTGGCGCTGGTGCGGCTTGGTTGTACCAGTGGAAAAATCCCTGTCATCCCCGTCACCTTGCTCACCCACCAACCCCCCACCACGCCCAACCACCCACCACGCTCCGACACCCACCCACGCACCCACCACGCTCATGCACCCAACACGCTCACCCCACCCCACCCACCCCACCCACCACACCCACCCACCCACCCACCCCACCCACCCACCCACCAGGCCCGCCCGCCCGCCCGCCCGCCCACCGTACCTTGCACCTGCTCCCCAGCGGCGAGCGCGATCTCCCCGTGGGAGTGCGGCTGGTACGACCGCACGGCCACGAAGGTGCGCCCCGGCACGGCGCTGTACAGCCTCCGCTTGGCCGCCGCGGCCGCGGCACTGTGGGGACGCGGGCACCGAGACGGAGACAGAGAAACGGCACCGCGGTGATCCGTGCGGTGTCGGCTGCCGGTGGGGGGGGGGGGGGGGGGGGGGTGGGGCGGTTTGCCTCGCACGGATTTTCTCTGCAGAATAAACCGCAAACGGTTGAATCCTTTCTGGCCACAAGACGGACTGCGTGTTAGGATGTTCAAACAACACACAGAGAAACCTTTTTTTCGGTTTAACACTTAGTAGGCTTTTGCGGGCAATATCATCCATGAGAGGTTTTTTTTTGGGGGGGGGGATAGATCGCCACGTAAATATATGTTGTGTCGTTAAAACCCGCCACCACCCGACACAGCCAGCTAGTAAGGGGTTTGTCACGTAAAGAGCACGTGGCCAATTCGTCACTAGTACAAAGCCACCGGTGTGTGTTGGAGGGCCAAGCCACACACAACTGTGTCAAAACACCAAACAAGGTTTGATTTAAAGCTTTCGTGACTGCAGGGATTCATATTCTTGGTTCTTTAGGTAAAGCCACGTAGAGGTGAAACAATAAAACAATAAAAATATTTGATTGTTTTATATTTGTATTATTTTATTGTTTCCCTCCTACGTGACTTTACCGAAATAACCAAGAATACACCAAACACGGTTTACGCTTGGTGTTTGGACATCTCAACACACGACTGTGTCATTGCCAGGTAGGGTAAAACCTATTCTTGGATTTTGGTACTCGCAACGCGGGTCCCATGACGAGCGGATGGGTCAGTTTCACTCCCAACATCATCGCATTGATCTCCTCGTCTATTTCGGACCGAAACAGGAGGAGGAGGATTTCTCCACACAGCTTTCTGGCTCTCCGCCTGATGATGCTGCTGGCTGCTGTTGTTGTTGTGATTACCGGCGAAAAGTTGCGGTACTCGAATTGTAAATGTTGTAGTGGGGTTTACTCTCCAACACACGACCGGCGTGGTGTTGTACTAGTATACTACACTGAACACTTCACTATACACTACACTATACACTACACTATACACTACACTATCAATGTAAATGTTGTAGTGGGTTTACTCTCCACACAACCGGTGTAGTGATGTACTAGTATACTACACTGAACACTTCACTATACACTACACTATACACTACTATAGACTGCACTACTATACACTACACTATACACTACACTATACACTACACTATACACTACAGTATACACTACACTATCATTGTAAATGTGGTAGTGGGTTTACTCTCCAACACACAACCGGCGTAGTGATGTACTAGTATACTACACTGAACACTTCACTATACACTACACTATACACTACTACAGACTGCACTACTATACACTACACTATAAACTACTATACACTACACTATACACTACTATAGACTGCACTACTATACACTACACTATACACTACTATAGACTACACGACTATACTATACACTACTATACACTACACTATACACCACACTACACTATAAACTACTATACACTACACTATACACTACACTATACACTACACTATTATTGTAAATGTTGTAGTGGGTTTACTCTCCAACACACGACCGGCGTGGTGATGTACTAGTATACTACACTGAACACTTCACTATACACTACACTATACACTACTACAGACTGCACTACTATACACTACACTATAAACTACTATACACTACACTATACACTACACTATACACTACACTATACACTACTATAGACTGCACTACTATACACTACACACTACACTATACACTACTATACACTACTATAGACTGCACTACTATACACTATACACTACACTATAATTGTAAATGTCGTAGTGGTTTTTACTCTCCAACACACGACCGGCGTGGTGTTGTACTAGTATACTACACTGAACACTTCACTATACACTACACTATACACTACTATAGACTGCACTACTATACACTACACAATACTTTAGACTACACGACTATACTATACACTACTATACACTACACTATACACTACACTATAAACTACTATACACTACACTATACACTTCACTATACACTACATTATACACTACTATAGACTTCACTAATATACACTACACTATACACTACTATAGACTACACTACTATACTATACACTACTATACACTACACTATACTCTATACTATACACTACACTATTATTGTAAATGTTGTAGTGGGTTTACTCTCCAACACACGACTGGCGTGGTGATGTACTAGTATACTACACTGAACACTACACTATACACTACACTATACACTACTATAGACTGCACTACTATACACTATACTATACACTACACTATACACTATTATAGACTGCACTACTATACACTTCACTATACACTACACTATACACTACTATACACTACACTATACACTACACCATAATTGTGAATGTTGTAGTGGGTTTTACTCTCCAACACACAACCGGTGTGGTGCTGGACCAGGAACGAATTGGCCACGTTCTGTTGACGGGTTTTCACGACACATTTATATTTAAGCGATTACGGCCGTTCCGCTGGTAACTACAACCTGCAGCAGCACCTGGCAGTTGCAGAATTTGCGACAATCGGAATGTTTATTTAATGCCGGAGGCATCCAATGAGCTACGAAGCCCGTCGAGGAGACGCACAGCACGACGGAGCCGAGACACGCGGCGTGATCATCGGTACACGATCCCCGCTGACGCGACGTGATCATCGGTACCCGACCCCCCGCTGACACGCAGCTGTCATAGATTTGTGGGTCAAGTGCTGTTAGCGAGCAGCACCTATGAAGACCGGCCTGACGCACGTGTGGGTGGGTGGCCAGCACCGCTCCCGGCCGCCTTTGTCTCCCCAGTGGCGATGTTCACACACCGCACCAGGTAGTCGTTTGAGGCTGAGTCGACCTAGGGGCGGCCGAGGACCGGTTCAGATAATCGTCACCGGTGTTGTGCCGTGAGCGGGAATCGAAAGTGGGTCGCCGGGTTTGACAGCGGCGCGTAGCGCTAACCGCTGCACCGCCGCTCTCCATGCAAAGACTAACACACTCACAAAAGCACACGCACGCACACACACGCACGCACGCACACACGCACGCACACGCACACGCGAACACACGCATGTACACGCGGACACACGCAGGCACACACAAGCACACACGAAGAGACAAACACACACACGCACACACACACGCACACACACGCACACACACGCACACGCGAACAGACAAACACACACACACACACGCACACACACGCACGCGCAGCAGCAGCCCTGCGCTGCCAGCCCGTGGTCCCCGGCGACACCGCGCCGTGCCACCGCCGCGCGCTAATTTGTCCGCGTGCTAATGTGCCGATCGCTGGCGGAGGAGAGAGGAGGGGGGTGTCGGCTCTGCCGGGAGCCGCCGTTCGCCCCCCGCCCGCCCCCCGCCCCACCGGCTCTCCTCCACCGCGCTCGGCGCTCAATTATTTTGTCATCGCCAACCGCCGAGCCCGGCAGACGCCGCCGCCGCCGGCGGTGGCCTCGCTCCCGATCTCCCGGCGCGGCGGTCTGAAGCAAAATCCCAGCTCGGCCGCCTCGGTCGGCGCCAGCGGCGCGCAAAGCGGCGGCGGGCGCCGGTTAGCCGCGTGGCCGCGGTTGGGGGTGAAGTGCGGGCGACTCTTCCCGCCTCTTCTCGCGGCACGCGTGGAAGATCAGGCCAAAGTACCCTCGAGAAGGGGCCCGGGGGGGGGGGGGGGGGGGAGGGGCGGGGCGGGGTGGGGTTCTCCGTAGCTTCTCCGCCCACCCCCCCCCCTCCCCCACCTTCTGCAAGCGGCGGTAACGAGCAACAGGAGGCGTCTCGAAGCATGACACCGCTGGGGAGAAGTAATCATTATCAGCGGCACGGTACCCACACGCCCTCGCTACCCGGCACGTGCGCGCGCCAGCGTTCGCAGGCGCGCAGCCACCCCCCCCCCCCCCCCCCCTGCTCCCCCCCCTGCTCCCCCCCCCTCCCCTCAAATCCCTTGCTTCCACACTCCGCTAATGAATTCCGCGGGAGGACCCTCGAAGAAACGTGACGGACGGAAATGTCGAACGCGGGAGACGGAGGAGCCGCGCGGCGCGCTCGCTGAATGACTTCGGCCCGCGGTGCAGGGTTGGCGGAGGGTCTCCTGGCCAGGTCGTCGTCGTCGTCGTCGTCATCGTCGTCGTCATCGCTACGACGACGACGTGAACCAACCCAAATCGTTTACGTCTGTAAGCGAACAAGCGGAGCGAGCGGTGGGCCAAACAGGACCGCAGGAGCTTGGGCAATTGTTGTCTGCCGACGCTGGCTGCATTTCTTACTTGGGAGCGCCACGGTGGCTGCGAGATGTTAACTCCCTCGCCTGGTGCGCAGGAGGTCGTGGGTTCGATCCCGACCCTGACGCATGCTGCTGCTGTATATTTGGAGTTTGCTGTCTCTCACTCTCTCCCCGTGGCCGCGTGGACTTTTCTCCGGGTCCTCCGGTCTTTTTCCCCTCCTTACAAACAACGCAGAGCGTTCACAGAGTGTCCGGCTGCGGTGAATGTCCGCGTGACGATGAGCCCTGAGCCGTCATTCGTGGCCAGGTCGCGTCTGAAAACGAGCCGCCGTGTCTCACCACGGCCGCACGACCGCCTCCTCCTGGCGCTCCTCCTCGACACCCCCCCAGCGGGCTGGGGGGGCGTTCCGCAGCACCCGTCGCCGCGGCGATCCGCCAACCCTCGCCGCTGCCTCCGACGGCGCCGGATGGTCGCAGGCAGACGCGCGCGGCCACCGGCAACGGCCGTTCCCACGTCCGAGCGAGCCGTCCGAGAATCAACGACGCTCTCCGTGCCGGCCGCCAGCCGCCCCCTCCCCACCCCCCCCCAAAACCTCCCCCCGGGCGGACAACTTTGACGAATCGCGAGGACTCCTCCCCCAGAGGGCCATCGGCCGAGAGCCCTGAGGGTCCGTGCCGTTCTCGGCAACCCAACCGCGCAGGCGGGGCCTCGCGAAACGAACCCATGCCCGGCAGCGGCGGGTCCGGCCGCGCGCCCGCCAACGCCCTGGCACGGCGCACACACCCGGGTAGGGGGAGGAGGCGGTGGGGCTGGCGGGCGACCGACGTTCTGAATGATCATTTGAAGCAATTGACGGGACCTCGGGGGGGGGGGGGGGGGGGGGGTCCCATCACTGCCCCGGGGTGGGAAAAACCGCGTAGCGACACGAGTCTTGTTGTCTTACCGACAACAACAAAACTCTAGTGGTCGATCGATGTGCCTCGTCGAGAGCTACTCGGGGACACTAAGTTTTCGTGAAAAGTTGAAAAATTACGTGAACACGTTAAATTCACCGCCCTGGGGGGCGGGGCTCGCCTTGGCAAAGAAGCTGAGGATCGACGGCTGACCGGAGGGCGGCGGATGCCCCCCGGGGCTCGCGTTTGTCCGGTGGGGGTGGCGCCCCATCGTGTCGATCGCCGCCTGCTGCTGCTGCTGCTGCTGGCGCTTGTTGGCGCGAGTCTGGGCGGGCGGCGCGTTGCTGGCGGGATCGCGAGTGGGTGGACTGAAAAATAATAATTATTATTATTGACCTGATTTTTGCGGGAACCCGCTGGGGTCCCGCCAAATGATTCATTTCTCCCCAGCAGCGTCACGCTTCGAGACGCTTTCTCGTCGGATCCTACTGGGCCACGAATGCTGTTGTTGTTTATTAATATTATTAATAGAGGTGGGTGTAAAGATAACAGGCGAAGGCGTAGACCCCCCCCCCACCCCACCCCCCCTGCAGTTGCTTTGCTCGAAGGTGGGAGGGGGGTGGAGAAGCTACGGAGAACCCCACCCCGCCCCTCCCCCCCCGCCGGGCCCCTTCTCAAGGGTACTTTGGCCTGATCTTCCACGCGTCCCGCGAGAAGAGGCGGGAAGAGTCGCCCGCACTTCACCCCCAACCGCGGCCACGCGGCTAACCGGCGCCCGCCGCCGCTTTGCGCGCCGCTGGCGCCGACCGAGGCGGTGGAGCCTGGATTTTGCTTCAGACCGCCGCGCCGGGAGATCGGGAGCGAGGCCACCGCCGGCGGCGACGTTGCGGCAGCGTTGGGGAGGGGGGGGGGGGGTGGTGTAGCGGCGGTCGGTGCCCCCGAACCTGGCAAAGCCTCAGCTCGATAGCCGGTGGGGGGGGGGGGGGCACGGCGAACATCGGTGTGGCGACGCGATAAGTAATCCCGGCTGGCCCTGCGCCGACAATCGCGGTGAAGTACGGTCAAACAGCAGCGCCCCGGGGGCCCCCAGCGTGACCGGCACGGCATGGGCGGATTTGGGTTGGCCTCGTGGCCGAATGAGAAGGAGGCGGTTCATTATTTCCGTGCAAAATTTTCTTTGGGGTCCCCGCGCGATCATCGCCCTGGCGCGGCCGCACGCGGATGCCAGCGGCGAAGGCTCCGCGAGGCGACGGGAAGTGAGAATGAGGCCGTGAAAGACTTTCGCGCACCGCCCAGGGCACCACCACAAGAATAACAACAAACAATAACGACCGTTGTTGTTGTTGTTGTTGTTTTAGTTGTCGTCAACTTGTAACGCTACGCCGCCGCCGCCAATGCACGGGATTCGCTTCTCGCTCTCGGAGAGACAGAGAGACAGAGAGAGAGAGAGAGGACGATGATGACAACGTCGTTCAGAAATTACACCCAACACTTTCACAGCATTGATGGTGACGACAATGATGGTGACGATGATGATGACGTCGACGACGACGATGATGACATCGACGACGACGACTATGACATCGACGACGACGACTATGATGACGATTTTCTCGCTATTTCTGGCAACGTTTACCCCGGAATGCATCCGGACCTCACCACCAAATGAACATTGATGATGCCAACGACGACGATGACGACGACGACAATTTTCTTGCCATCGCTGGGCACGTTTGCCCAGCAAAGCACCGGTCAGAGTCTCGAGGCTCCGCCGGACGCTTTACGCCGACACAAAGACCGCCGGTGCCAATCTCGGCCAAAACGGACACCGCCGGCGACCACGGTCGCTAGTCACCACGTTGGGAAAAAAATTCGCCGCCGGCACTCATCGCCGCGCCCGCACGCCGCTGCCCGCCCCCCCCCCCCCGCCCACCCGCCTCCCTCCCCGAGACACTCCGTAACGAGCGCTCGCTCGGCAATCCGTGCGCACGCTTCCCTCTGTAGACGATCGCCACCACCATGATCACAGCAGCCACCACCACCAGCACACGATCGCCCCCCCGCCGCTGCCACCGCCACCAACCACCATCGCCACCATCATCACCACCGCCACCACCAGCACCACCATCATCACCACCGCCATCACCACCATCATCATCATTACCACCGCCACCACCACCATCATCATCATCATTACCACCGCCACCACCACCATCATCATCATTACCACCGCCATCACCACCGCCATCACCACCACGACGATCGCCCCCGACCGCCACCGTCATCAAGACCGCAATCACCACCACCAGCACCACCATCACCACAATCATCACCAACACCACCATCATCATCATCACCACTGCCGCCGCCGCCAACCCCCACAATAATCACTACCACACGATCACCACCACCACCGTCAAACAACAAGCTCCGCCGTATAAGCCTTAACAGACCTCCGGTGACCACGGTTGGCTACGCACGGTGCTAAAGAAGTCCAACGTACGCACAGGCTGCCGGGCGCAAACGCTGTCAAGCGAGCACCCACGAAGGCTGGCACGGCAACACGAGGCGGAGAGAGGAGGCCGCCACCACACCGGGCCGACGTTTCCACGCCGCGCCGGGCGCTCGTCCGGCGCCAAGTCGACCGCTTCGGAACGGGCCGTCGCCGACGCCGGCCGCGGAGCGGGGAATCGAACCCGTGCCCCTGCCGGCCGGGCACTCACTTGACGGCGATCGCCTGCACCTGCTGCAGGAGCTGCGGCGGCAGGCTGCGCAGCGACGGCGCGGGCGAGCGTCCCGCCGGCCCGTCGAAGTCGCCGCCGGAGCCGCCGGAGCCGCCGCCGGAGCCGCCGCCGGAGCCGCCGCCGGAGCCGCCGCCGGAGCCCGCGGTGGCGCGGGAGCACGGGTGGAGGCCGCGGTCGCTGTTGGAGCGCGTGAGGCTGCGCGACGCAGCCGACAGGGTGGCCTGGCTGCAGCGCCGGCGGTTCGTGTACGACGGAGTCTCGGTGAACGGCGCTGCCGGGGAGGATCGGGGTTCGTCGGCGGAGGCGGTGGTTGGTGGGAGAGGGAGGAGGAGGAGGCGGTGGCGGTGGTGGTGGGGGGGGGAGCGAGGGGGAAGAGAGAGAGGGGTGGGAGGTGTGCAGGGAGAGGAGCAGAGAGAGAATTTTTTTTTTAAGATGAGACACAGAGGCGCGTGACTCACACGCGCACGCAAAGATAAAGACACAGATCCCCCGTGCGGCCTTAACAGACTGTTGGGGCAAGTGCTGTTAGCGAGCAGCACCTACGAAGGCCGGCACGGCACACGAGGGGGTGGGTGGCCGGCACCACGCCCGGCCGCCTTTGTCTCCCCAGTGGCGATGTTCACACACCGCACCAGGTACACATTTGAGGCCGAGTCGACCCAGGGGAGGCCCGGGACCGCGTTCAGATAATCGTCACTGGTGTTGGCCGTGAGCGGGAATCGAACTTGGGTGGCCGCTACACCACCGCACACATGAACACGCACACGTGAGGACGCTCGCTCTCTCCTCTCGCTCGTTTGCCCGGGCGCTGGAGGCGGGAGGATTTTGATGTGGGCTGCCCACGCACACACGCGCAGGCACACACACACACACACACGCGCACACACACACACACGCGTGCAGGCACACACGTGCAGGCACACACACACACACGTGTGCAGGCACACACACGCGCACACACACACACGTGTGCAGGCACACACACACACGTGTGCAGGCACACACACACACGCGCACACATACGTGTGCAGGCACACACACGCACACACACACACACACACGCGCGCGCGTAGGCACACACACACACGCGCACACACACGTGCGCGCGCACACACACACACGCGCGCAGGCACGCACACACACACACACACACGCGTGCAGGCACACACGAACACACACACACGAGCGCCGCGTGCCGCGCTCGCTTGAATAGCGGGAGCGGTGGCGGGGGGGGGGGGCGACAGGGGAGGGGGCGGCGGAGAGCGGGGGGAGGAGTGGGGGGGGGCGAGCGTGAGTCACTTGCAAGAGGCGGCAGCAGCAGCAGCAGCAGCACCGCTGTGAAACAGCGCTGCTCACCACGGCGGAAGTTTCATTTTTGCAAAATGTTAACTGCCTCGCCTGGTACGCAGGAGTGCGTGGGTTCGATCCCGACCCTACGCCCGCTGCTGCTGCTGCTGCTGCTGTCTATCTGGAGCTTGAGTCTCTCGGTCTCTGCTTTGCGTGGATTTGTCTCCCCCCCCCACCCCGACCACCCACTGCCCCCTTCCTTGGCGTTCAACTTCGGCGCTCGAGCGGCAAAAACCGCCGCTTCTCCGTCTCGCCGTATGACAAGTGACACGCTGGCCGCCGTTACCGTTCGCACGACGGTTGCCGCCGTTACCGTTCGCGGCACGCCGCTGGCTGCGGTCACCGTTTGCAGCGTGCGAGCAACGCACCAAAAATAAATAAATGTTGGACGGCAGCTGCGAATCATTTCCTCGGCCGTGATTTTATTTCACGGCAATTGGCGCACGACGAGGGCCACGACGACGACAGCGACGAGGAGGAGGAGGAGGAGGAGGTCGACGGAGAAAATGTGGGGCGGTGGTGTGTCAGAAGCGACCGTCGCCGGATGTTATTTTTATCGCGAGGAATAAAACCTCATGCTGCAGCCGATTTAGTCACGTCAACTTGGAACGCTGCGCCACCGTTGGCAACACCGCTGGCAACACCGCCATTACCACCACTGCCACCACCACCGCCACCACCACCGCTACCACCACCGCTGGCAACACCGCTGGCAACACCATTGGCACCACCGCTACCACCACCGCTACCACCACCACCGCTACCACCACCGCTATCCACCACCGCTACCACCACCGCCATTACCACCACCGCTACCACCACCGCTACCACCACCGCTGGCAACACCGCTGGCAACACCATTGGCACCACCGCTACCACCACCGCTACCACCACCGCTACCACCACCGCTATCCACCACCGCTACCACCACCGCCATTACCACCACCGCTACCACCACCGCTGGCAACACCGCTACCACCACCGCTACCACCACCGCCATTACCACCACCGCTACCACCACCGCTACCACCACCGCTACCACCACCGCTGGCAACACCGCTACCACCACCGTTGGCACCACCGCTATCACCACCGCTACCACCACCGCCATTACCACCACCGCTACCACCACCGCTGGCAACACCGCTACCACCACCGCTACCACCACCGCTAGCAACACCGCTACCACCACCGCTGGCACCACCGCTACCACCACCGCCATTACCACCACCGCTACCACCACCGCTGGCAACACCGCTACCACCACCACTACCACCACCACTACCACCACCGCTACCACCACCACTACCACCACCGCTAGCAACACCGCTACCACCACCGTTGGCACCACCGCTACCACCACCGCTACCACCACCGCCATTACCACCACCGCCATTACCACCACCACCACCGCTACCACCACCGCTACCACCACCGCTACCACCACCGCTAGCAACACCGCTACCACCACCGTTGGCACCACCGCTACCACCACCGCTACCACCACCGCCATTACCACCACCGCTACCACCACCGCTACCACCACCACTACCACCACCACTACCACCACCGCCATTACCACCACCACCACTACCACCACCGCTGGCAACACCGTTGGCACCACCGCCATTACCACCACCGCTACCACCACCCGCTGGCAACACCGCTACCACCACCACTACCACCACTGCTACCACCACCGCTGGCAACACCGTTGGCAACACCGCTGGCACCACCGTTGGCACCACCGCTGGCAACACCGTTGGCACCACCGCTACAACCACCGCTGGCAACACCGCTGGCAACACCGCCGTTGTCACCACCGTTACCACCACCGCTGCCAACACCATTGGCAGCACCGCTATCACCACCGCTACCACCAATTTCTGCCACCACCGCCGCCACCACTGGCACCACCGCTGCCACCAAGCGGGTGTGAGCTGGTGCCACCGATTCCCCAAGCTCTGCGGTCCACTATATATCGGGGCGTCATCGGACAATGAATGAGCGATGCGTAATGGCCGCGGCAGGGCCGTGCATACGAGCAGCATGAAGGTGGCGTGGGGTCGTGGTGACGGACACGCCTGGCCACGCATTGCGCACCAGTGCGTTGCTATTAATAGGCGCTCGCTAAACGGGGAAGGGGGGGGGGTGGTCTTTGTATTTTTCACTTAAATCTTTCGGAGAAAAGGAATTTCAGTTCTGTCCCTCAACACCTCCGACAAAATAATCAAGCAGACGATCTTATGCGTGGTGTGTAAAAAGTTACGCAATGAATCCGACCCATCAGCCACGCGGCCCTCTGGGAGTAACGCAACTTCAGCAGCAATGGTTCAACACACAGGAAAACGAAAGCGGTTGACTTCAGTTAAAATTAATGCACAGAGTTATGGGATTAAATTATAGTCGCGCGGATGCGCCACGTACAGCGGAATTGTTGTTATTCTCTGCCGCCATCTCTATTTTACACAGCGGTTAGCGCCACGCTGCGCTATGAACCTGGCGACCCGGGTTCGATTCCCGCTCACGGCCAACACCAGTGACGATTATATGAACCGGTCCCGGGCCGCCCCTAGGTCGACTCAGCCTCGAATGAGTACCTGGTGCAGTGTGTGTAAACGTCGCCACTGGAGAAACAAAGGCGGTCGGGCGTGGTGCTGGCCACCCACCCCCTCGTGTGCCGTGCCGGCCTTCATAGGTGCTCGCTAACGGCACTTGCCCCTACAGTCTGCTAAGGCTACACGGGGGACCTTTGTCTTTGTAGGCGTCTGTGCGAGTGAGTGCATGTGTGTTTGCGAGTCTATCGATGCGAACTTGCAAACCGAACAAAAATAAACACATGCTCTGGCAGTATGTGCATTGTCTTTGAAACCGGATTGGTCCACGCCGGAGACAGCTTTGTTCAGAGCCTCGTCTCGAACAGCGCGAGACCAAAAGCGCCCTTTGGTCAATGGGACCTCCCCTTGCCAGTATCAAAATGCAGCAAAACCTCGGATTGCGAGTGACTTGGTCTGCGAGTGTTTTGCAAGACGACCAAAAACATTTTAAATAAATATTCATTTGATAAACGAGCGAGGGCCTCGCAATACGAGCGGTGTACGTGTAGACGCTTTGTACTGCCGTGCGTCACGTGATCACAACTGATATACGAGTGCTTTGATATACGAGTGCTTTGGATTACAAGCACGTTTCCGGAACGAATTATGCTCGCAATCCAATGTTTTGGATTGCAATGGGACCTCCTTTGCCAGTATCAAAATACAAGAAGAGGTTTAACCCTTTCTGGCAATACAACAGCTGTGTTCAGATGCTTAAAACACCAAACTGAAACCTTTTTGCAAGGAATCGTGGTTACTGCATTAACCACACACGACACTTGCGGTGCAAACAAACAAACAAAAATAAACCACATGCTCCGGTGGTGTATGATGCATTGTCTTTAAAAACTGATTGGTCCACAGCAGAGACAGCATTTCTTTACAGCCTCGTCTCAATCAAATTTCCGCTCCGCACCGCCGTTCAGGGCCGAGCTGGACCTGCGAGAGATTTGTTTCGGGTGACCGTGGCCGGCTGTCGGTCGGGGATCGAACTCACGAGGTGGTGACCGTGGGAGAGGGAGTCGCGCGTAGGCGCCGCTCGAGATTTTTCTATTTTATTTTATATTATTTCAGGAACACCCCGCGCTGTCTCGGCTTTAGCAGCGCGCACGCGCGCGAGAGAGAGAAAGAGAGAGAAAGAGAGAGAGAGGGGGCGGCGAGCGGATTGAGATTTTTTTGTTGCAGTGGCAACGATTTCGACGCTGAGTGCGCGGCAATGATTTCACAGCCAAGGCCACGCGATGCAAAAGCAAAAAAAAAACCGCGCACGCGCACACACACACACGCACGCGCACACACACACACGCGCACGCACGCGCACACACAC